TTTCCATCGTCGCGTGATCGGTTTCTCTACGTCTCTTTTTTATTTCTCGTCGTTTATCGATAATCAAAAAATAAGTTATCCGAATACTTTGTACTTGTCCAAGCCGATCGAGATGGTAGACGTTGAAGCTCTTGGCACGGTATTCGATTTACGTAAAAGAGGAAATCCGATCTCGTCGATCACCTTGCTGCTGCACACGCCATTGAATTCACACGGATAAGACGGATTTCTTAAAATTGCTCGCTTCTCCTGTACGATTCGCGCGTTATCAATAATTAGAATATGTAATAATTACGTCGTAATTCAAGATAGCAAATATATTATCACATTTAGATTGTATTAATGTTTAAGACCTTTTTTTTTAACTGGACATTCTTCGACAAATTTAAACACCTCTACCTTTATCTAAGCTTCATCCCTATGAAAACTTCTCTAAAACTCTCGCGTCCTCCCCTTCAATTCGCGTGCTCAATTTTCTCGCGTATCTTGAAAATTCAATTGAAATTACGAAGTTTAATTCTAGTGAAAAGTTGTAAATTTTTCCGAGTGAATGACAAGTTCGTCGAAGGTGTAATACCGTAGTTAGGTGTCAATTCCTCGAAGGAGTCCAGAGTCGATCGATCCGATGGCTTTGCGTCGAAAATCGTCATTTCTCACAAGGATTGGACTACACCCGGAATCTTCAGCGACAGAAAGTCCAACTGAATCGAAAATACGACGGTATTCGCGTCGTATTCTCTGGAGGTTTGTACAATAACGAATAGAGACTAATTCGTAAATTATTGCCTTCTGAGTGCTGGACGACGACGATCAACGAAAGGTCGCGGATGATCGTTCGTATGTAAATCTAAGAAACATTAATATAGAATATATTATCGTGTAGTTTATATAAGGTATACGTTAAGACACTTACCATCTACTGCAAAAATTCAACAGTTAAAAGATTGTAACAACTAGTTCGTATATTTCCGTACGAGACGGAAATGCTCGATCGGCATTTCGTTCTGTTTCCACGTGTCTCATCGAGAACGACTTTTCTATCGTATCGTTGATCGTCCGAATAATCGATTATCCGAATGAGTGGAACAAAGGAACAACTTGAAATGAAAAAACGAATGCACGATCGAGCAGATTCGACTCGTTCGCAGCCTCCGGTCTCTCAATTCTTTCCCATCCTCTTAATACGCTACACCCACGTTTCCGCTTCCGTTACTCATTATCATTTTGGCACGCGTTTTTTTGTTTTTCTGTTTCCTTACTATTGGCACGACATTTACGAACAATGAGCTTGCTAGAATTAATTAATTAGAATAAATCTCGGACGCACCTGAGATCGATCGTTCGAACGATACGATGTATAATAATAAAAAGACCTTTGCTATATCGTACGTACTATGTACCGCCGTATACTTAAATACAGAATGCCAATAAATCGCGTTACGTTCGGCTCGAGGAGGCTCTACGTCATTTCACGAAAGGCAATCCGTTCACAAAGCGATAAGTAACCCCCCAATTTAATTACATGCTCGACCGTTTCATGCTCGCCGTTTACGAAATTGTCTACGCCCGAGACGTTTACCGTGGACCATGGGATAATCATTCTAATACGATGCTTACGCGAATAAAAAGAAAGGATCGTATCGGTTGTTCGTTCCCGCGACACCTTAAAAGCTAAGAAATTATTCTAAACGCGGCTTTTGAACGATCAACGTCTAAAATGGAATAATCAATCGAGCGGTTATCAAAAATAGAATTATCATTGTAAATACAATACACAACGCACCGATATACCAACGATCAACAATCGTCGTTTCGCGATCTCCATTCGGACCACAATCACGTCACGACCATGTATACCAAAAATACTATATCACGCGTAGGTTAAAACATTGCGTCCGCGTGCATGCACGAAAGTTCGAACAAAACGAAAGAGACGACGATCTTCCCCGGCTCATCGGTTCCCTTTCTTTCTCTTTGCGCGACGAACACAGCCGGCATGTCGCGCACACGTGTCATGTAAAGTCATGTGTTATAAAAGGTATCGCGAACTCGCCGCGCACGCCGTCGGAATAAACGTCTCACAAATATAAAGTATCATTTCGAATATAATATACGTATATCAAAAAGCAAGAAAGTATCGTGTATACAGTACACGTACGCGTATCATAGTGGGCGGAGAAAATCTGCACTGTTCTTAGCGACGTTAATAATGTTTACGGTTGATCGAATATCAATCGAGGAATATCGTTTGCAGAGTTACTGATCGAGATACGAGTAAGAATCGCAATTACAACTAGTTGCAACTGAAAAGGTCATGATCGAGATACAACTATCGTTTACAAGCTAGCAATCGTTAATTCGAGCATACGTAAAGATCCCAATTAAACTTTATCGCAGTTAGAGTACTTGGAAAATTAAACTGCGTAATCCGAATAATGAGTTTAATGCGAAGCAACGAGCCATTGGGGTCTTATATTCAGTCTTTAAATTTGACATTTTAGAAAATTTGGAATAGCGTCGTAGTTGATAGATTCCTTACAAAATGCGACGATACTGATTATTTTAAAGGAAGGTGTAAGCAGCTTTCGAAATACCGTATGGATCGTTGAAGAAGAAATTCGTCCAAATGAGCAATTCTTCGAGTATTCCGAAGAATTTATCGACGAATTAAAGCTCTAACAATGGAAATCGCTCGTTCCTTCCATCGATTCGACCAATCGTAGTGGTTTTTCTCCGCCATAATTGATTCGCTCTTTTATTTTTATTTTTCTTTTTTGCCTTATTGCCAAATGCAAAACGTGACCGTCTCGGACGAGAAAAAACGTGACGTACTAATCGCAGCCATGCATCGAAGAGCATCCTTTTCCCGTGCCTCTTTATCTCCCCCCTCCCCCCATAAAAACTGTTATCGACTAGAACGTAGTTATGATACATTAAAAATTGACACACATTTATGTTATATGTATATTGGGCTTCACCTTATCGCCTCCCCCGTTCTTTTCTTTCATTCTTTTGTTCTCTGCAGAAAATGCATGACACGATCGAATCATTTTTGGGGACGGTCTTCGATCCTAGAGAGAGAAAAACTTGCGATATTTTTAATAATAATTTCCATAGGCGTCGAGTGAGGACAGAGTAAAGCCAGTATTCCCATGGGAACACCGGCGAACTTGCTTATTACAGACGACAATCGTTAATAGTTTGCATTTGGAACCTACTATAGCTTTCGACTTAGAGATATACTTGAGACACATAAGAAGTTGCTTGTGTATTGTAGTTTCGTTGGAAAGTCCTGCATTCTGTGCTCGATGCACACTTGTATGATTCCTTAGCTATTTATTTAAACACGCGAGAAAAAGTTGAACGACGCTGTCATACCTTTCGTTTTTTTTCCCACTTCACCTAAGTATTAAGCGAACGTATATTATATTATCGACGGGCAACAAAAAACTTTCACGCCACTTATCGTTATCTCTATGAAATTCGATAAAATTCCCCATGGCTATCCTTTCCTCGATAAACGAACACACCGTACACGCTATTACATAGTAACGTATCGTTGCAATTCCGATTATTCCGTAAGAATAATACCACATTCGCGTTATATGCTAAATAGTAATAATACCGGTAATAAGAATAATAGCAATGTACATCGTTATCAATAATACCATTAACAATCATAATTATACGGATGGACAATCATAATTATAGTTGAAGCTTAAATATGAAAGGACGCAACGGTAAAATTATCTTTGCAAAATAGCACCTTTCCCAGACGCCAGAGATCTCGTGATGTACAAATATGCTTAATTAGATCTATGCTTGTCGACACACTCGATTCTTGTAATAAAAAGCAATTTAACGGATTCAATGGAAAATTCGATGGAATACGAAATTGCGTTGCTCGTATATGTATAAAACTTGTCTCCTTGAGGTCTGTTTGCCTTTTCTGAAGTTAATGGAATAATAATTAAAATGTACGTATCGATTTGTAACACGAGAATCTCTTGACCGTCAGTACAGGACAGCAGTCTTAATAATCGCTGATTTTACATTTGAATCACGGCGTAAAGTGAAATAAAGGACGAGTGTCACACCGTGAAAGCATCTACTTTCAGTCTTTCTCTATAATCCAGTCTACGATTCTAGCACCATTGCGCAGCTTTAGTTTCGTTCATCAATGTTCTGATCAACGAAGAAACTTCGATAATTAAATCGGCTAATAATAAGATCACATTAGAATTCGAAGATTAGATTGAATTACCGACATTTGCATGCAATTCTCTACATAATTCCTATTTACTAAGGGCAAAGTTTATCGTAATTAGCCAGAAGTTGCACTTTGTTCTTCTTTAGTTACATCGTATCTTTTTTTTTCTTTTATTATTTTATTCGTATACTTCATTTTGCAGTCTATCATTAGAATCGTGTAAACTTCGTACAATCGAGCTGAAAATTGGATTACAATCTTCTTCAGGGAATGACGAAATTGATGTTAAAAAATCTTTCAAAGCTACTGTACTCTTTAAAAGTTGTGAGCCTACAACATCTGACTATCTCCACCGTTACTAGTCTAGCTCAAAGTCTGTAATCTTGCACATCGTGACTGTTATAATAATTTCAAATTTCTTACAACTTTCTCCGACATACGTTTCTAATAACCAATTTCATTTAAGAACAAAATAAACTCTGATTTTATTTCACCTTTCGACGTGCGATATTTTTTTTAAATTATATATTTCGACTTTCTCTTTTCAAATCCTATTCTCGACTCTTTTTTGTTTATTTCCGTATTGCTAATTTTCAAAATTAAATGACGTCGATCCTCGAAGCAGCTCGAATAGCGACGACATGATCTTCGTTGCCAATGTAAAATCTCTTCCACGATTCTAATATCTATGAGTCGCAGTATTGACAAAGTTAGGACGTGTAAAACGACGACGAACCGCTCGATCCACGACGAGAATTTCGAGCTTCCTCTTCAAGCTTCCTGCCGCGTGTCTTGCTTCACTTGCTTCACTAGTTCGTGGACTCCGAGTTGGAGGATGGCGAGGATTCTGGGCTCTGTACCAAAGGAGTATCCCTTCCGATCGTGGGCATCAGCAGCATCCCGCGTGGACTGAACGTATCGCAATACAAATTCTCTTTCTTGTGCACTCGCCTTACGTGGCTACGCAGATTGTCACGACGTGCACTCCTGTACGCGCAATGCGGACAAAGGTGTGGTTTCTCCCCCGTGTGCATTCGTCGATGTTGGATGAGCTAATGAGAGATAAGAGATCATTGTTCTCACGTATAAAAATAACTAGACACGTGTACAGTGGGCTGAGAGTATATAAGAACGATTATACGTATACTATATAGTAAAAAATCATGATCGAGAAAACAAATAAATCTCGATGAAGGTTTCAAATTTTTAGTTCCAAACATCTTTAAAATGTTTAATTAATAGTCTGAACTTAAATGAACAGACCAATGGTGACAGTGATCTATTGTAAAGCTTTAGAATAATAAACAAAGCTTTGCTTTGAATTATTACGACATAATTATTACAATATTATTATGTAGGAACAATTTAAAATGTGATATTAATATGTAATAACTATCAGTGGACAATTACAGTGATTACTTTTTATTCTGTAATACAATCTCATCGAGTTTCATATTATCACAACAATAGCCTGGCATCTTGAATTTAACTTCAATATATTGTCCTCTGAAGCTTGTCTATTGTAATCATTCGAATGTCACACCAAAGCCCACTGTATAGCAGTCTTGAATATATTCAGGGATCACGGGATGTCGAAGAACCCGTAGATTCATACGATATATTTACATAGAACGAAAGTTTTGATTTACAGGTACAAGTAGGATACCATTCACAACCATTCTACGAGATTCAAAAGACCAGCACGAATGTCGTAGAATTTATGATCGATCAGAGATTACACAGGCTTTTTACTCAGGCAGAATTCGAAACAATCGAAGTTCATCGATTTCACTTGTCGACGTGCTTCGAAATTCCATGCACTGACATTCCCAATAACGAAGTTTCCTTTTGTAGCGAAGAAAATATTACCTTTTTTAACTGCACCGTGCGAAAGATGCAAATGTCGCAGCAGAAGTATCGGTCATCGCGATGCCTTCTCATGTGTCTGCTCAGATCGACTTCCGACGATCTGTCCGCGCCACACACGGCGCAGCTCACTCTTGTTTCCGGCGCGGTACCTTTCGCGTGTGCCCTCAAATGCCTTTGGAATGCCTTCTCGATGGTGCAGGCGTACGAGCACAACGAGCATCGATACTCTTCCCTTTCATATCTGTGCATTGAAAGGTACAATAAGTCGGAACTACTTAGCTCAGATTGGAGATCAATTGAACATGGGCAAAGTTACAAGATCGTTTTCTTAATAGTAAATTTAATTTTTAAACTTGAAATTTTAGGTCTACCAAGGAAACTTTTCAGTGACGGTATATTTATATATGATAATTAAAAATCTGTTCTTTAATGATGAGATATAGCAATGAAAAATCAATTTACTAGTAAGACGTCCAGTGTTTCCCAGTGTTGCTTAAAATGATTAGAGAATTATTGATCTTTAGAATCTTTTGTTTGAAGAATGATTAAAGTTACCACGTCGTATAGCGGAAAGTATAAATTTTAAATCGTGTTAAATTTGTTGTAGACTCTCTAATTATTTTAACAATGCAAGCAATGAGAGATATATATATAAGTACAATAATTGGAACAAGCGTTAAGTACCTATACCTGACGCGTTGCAATGCCAGAGATCGCTTCTTTCCTGTTGGTGTCATCCCTTGTGCCACATGCGCAGCCACATGGGTTTCCATTTCGCATCTGCTATTCGTGGCGAAGTCGCAGCCCGAGGACGGACAACTTTTCGTTTCTCCAGTCTCCGCGCTTGGTACCGGTGGATGACAATCGACAATGTGCTTTCGCAGAGCTGGCCTCGTCGGTGCAACCACGTCACAGGAACCACAGGAGTAACCGCGATGCGCGTTGCTGACGTTTGGACTGCTACCTCTAGATCTGAAAACAGATAAAAAGTATTAATACTTTAAACAGAAAAATCGTTAAATTAATAAAATAATCTTGAAATATATTCCAACGAGAATTTCAAAGCCAAGTTAAATTAAATTAAAGAAATATTGACCGAATTCCACTATGCAATTTTTTCATTCAGCTCCTATTTAAAATCCTCCAGTTACGTTTATGACTTTGTTCAAAGAAAAGAATATCACATGTCCAGGAAACATATAAAATCAAAGGCCAATCTATTCGAGGAATTCTTCGGAATTAAAAGCCTCTTTTTTTTCATTTTTCAAATTTCGTAATCGTTGCTCACGAATCGGTCGTAACTCAACGCTGGTCAATATCCTTCAAAGCTGTTGATTTACGACGCCATTTATCTTTTGAATTTTTGAAATATCGCGAGAAACACGTTCGCATTGTTGAGCAGGGTGAAAGATTCGCTCTCTGGTACGACAAATTCATTGGTCTCGTTTTATCGATTCCATGTCGTGTTAGGTAAAAATTTCGTATTCTTTACAGCATCATTTTACCCCGACGTGTACAAATATAAATACGTAATTTCGTTTCCAGATTTCGCTCTTAATCTCGTATCTGACCTGACCCAAAGTACGAAACAATTTATGTGCCCGATGTATTAGGTGGAACAAGTTAAGTACATTATGGGGTAAAACGTTTGGGCCTGAGAAAGTGGTTGATAACTGAAAGATTACTTTCGATGCATACTTTTCAGTGTAAGACGAATGCTCACTCTCGGAGTCACTATCAGACGGAATGTTTGGGATTTCTGTAGCCTCAAGAGCCGCAGTCGCTGCTGAAAGTTTTCCAAGCCAAGTGGTGTAGGCATCGAGGACCCAGCTATTTAAAACCGGTGTAACTGTTCCATCCTATCAAAAAAGCGACCTTCTTTTATCTTTTTTATTTATTTCAAGGTTAATCGCTTAATAGACATAGTAATAGCGATTTGAACTATAATGATAGTAACCTACATATTAATAAAATTAATTTTTATATAATGTTTTTTTGATGTATTATGCAGATGTATAATTACGATTGGACGAACCTTGTCGAAAGTCAGATAGGCCATGGGATTGAGCAGCTTCATCGATAAATTATTATTGGCCGAACGGTGCGAGCTGTTCGTACTTCCCGTATCGCTTTCTTCCCCGGCGTCTTCATTGTCGTTATTTTCTTTTCGTATGGGGGTCTACACGATCATGGAAAAATTTATCAAGTATTTAGTATTGCTCGTGAATTCAAGGAAAACAGAGCATTCTAAATGCAAACTTTAATTATACTTCTGGAAAAGTTTGCTGAATCTTCCTTATGTCAGCTGTAAAAGTGACTTAATCAAGACGCTTTAGAATTCTTGGTAAAGTTTACTGCAATATTGGTGGAATTTGGGACATGTGTCGAAAAAAAATGAAGTTGCACGAAAAAATGCTGATCAGTGGAAATGTACGATGAAAAAGCAAAGACCGAACTCCCGAGAGAAATATTTTTAATTAATGTCATGAACAGTAATGGAATTTAAAACGTGGAAAAGAAAGATCCTTTTGGAATCTAAATAGCTGTAACATTAATAACGTACCTAATTTCAAGAAAATGTAAAGCTCCATTAAGTACTGTGATTTTTATCCGAATTCTCAATCAAACTAAAATTTCATTAAATGATCGAAATAGAATTTTTGAGAATAAATATCTATTGCATAAATGTAGCTTATAAAATGCACTGTAATTAAGTATTTCCAAAACGAATTTCCTCAACGCATATTAATGTATAATTTAAACTAAAATGATATATTAATAAAACATTTTATTAACATATAATTAAAATTAAAATTGAATTACAATTTCATCGGAAACATCAGGCAGCAATTGCATTTCCACGATACCTTGAAAAAGAAAAAATACAAATCTCCCGCACACGGCGATATTTCAAAAAGATATATAAACTTGTTATCAAAACGTACCTGATTATCAATTAAAATTAAAATTCAATTACAATTCCACCGGCAAACCTTTGCGATATATTAACAAAGGTATTACACCTTCGCGATATTTCGACAACCATAAATTTCTACATGTCCCAAAAAGACATATAAACCTATTATCGAAACGTATATACCTGATCATCAATTAAAATTAAAATTGTATTATAATTTTACTGGGAACATCTATGATACTTCAAAAAGTAATATAAATCCATTAAATATCAATATCCCACAACGAAATATGAGCCTATTATCAAAACGTATCCGATTATCAATTAAAACCAAAGTTGTATTATAATTTCATTCATAAAAGCATGCGTAAGACTCCCAAAAAGAGAGAAAGAAATACATAAATCTCCATCGGACATCAAAGAATTACAATTTCACTGGAAAAAGAGATACTTCAAAGACTTCAAAAGATATCTAAATCTCCACTAGACAGTGACACCGCAAAAAGCAAAGTTATTATCAAAACATACCTGATTATCATTTTCATCTGCTCGTTCGATGTTCCCTTCGTTGTCGTCCTGTTTCTCATCATCCTTCTCCTCGGCCTTCCCTTCGTTCTTCTCTTCCTCCCGTTCGCCATCCCGTTTCATCACCAGTTCCATAGGCCCATACGGCGGGCCGGCGGAAGTCAACGGTAACGGCACCATATCCGGCCGGTGGAGGCCGCTCAGGGCGAATGCAGCCCTCGGCAGCAACTGTGTCGCGCTTGGTGGTAAAATCGGGTGCCTTCGGGCGAGACGTGGGTCACCCCAAAGTTCACCCGCGGCGTGAAAACTCCAGATCCCATATTCCATCTGGAACGGCGATCATTAAACCGGGTCAACGAATATTCCCGCGTTCACGTCCCCTGATACGAATCCTATCCGAATTACGGTGATCGAGAGGCAAATTTTAGATGACACCCCAGAATTATCGATCCGACGTCGCGATAGCCTATTCTCGAGCTTCCAATAAGTAGTTAAGGGATCGCTTAAAATAGAGAAACGGATAATGGGAAAGGCGATATTCGTTGTTTTGCCACTACGCCGACTAGTCGAAATTGGACGGCTGAAAGATAGATAACATTACGCGGTCGCCGCTGAAATAGAAAGGTCCTTAATAAAATATACGCTGTCTCGCAGAACCTCGATCGTTTAGACGTTTCTAGGAGATGCCGAAGATTTTAGAAGATTCGAGAAAGTATAAGAATAGCTGCTGAAAGGGGAGATGAGAGAATGCAAGTATCGAAAGCTTGGAACCGATGAGACAACCAATGTCGATAATTCGAAGCTGTACAGAATGGTACCGTAATTATCGTATTCGAATTTAACGCGTTTGCTCTCGACGTGTCGTAGCTGCGATGTGATACTTAATAAATTAATGAAGATAATTTTCATACCGTTGCAACGGGCTTTTCGATATGAATCGTGACAGAGTCGAGGGGTTGGAACAGGGAGAGAGATTACAATAGATTTTCGTAATGAGATACGCGAAAACGCGTACAATTTCAGAGATGTCGTCCGTCAAAGGAGATCAAAGTTAAAGATAAAATTGTGCTCGCCTCTGAACAGCGCGAAAATACAGGTGGAAATATCGAAAATTACGAAATGAGAGCGGAAGATCGGCCGATTCGTTTCTTTGATATCTCGTTTATAATTTAATCGACAAAGAGAATTCTTTTGCGCGACGTTCGTCCCAAATTTTTACTGTCACGCGTTCGAATGGAAAAACGAAAAGAGACAGAGGAAAAAAAATAAAAGGAAAGAGGGAGGATCTCGAACGGCGGAGTTGGAGGACGGTGGTCCAGAAGCGCGCCACTTAATTGCAACGCATTTTGTAATGTTTAATAAATAGATCCAGCGATGGACGAGTTCGGAACTCATTATTTGCGAAAAGTTGGTGCACGGGTTCGCGAGACCGTCCAGGGGAATAGTAATCATTTTAATGACCGTTCCCGTTTAAAAATTTCCAAATGAACCGGAGGACTTCTGATTGCGTCGGTTCTCGATCTATCCCCTCTCGTCGTCCCTCTGTCCAACGAATTCGCGTAAAAATAACACAATAAATATCTCCGTTAATAAGTCCATCGATCGGTCCTCTCGTACGGATATGCCAGCAAGACAATTTTATACGTTCAAATTAATAATTGCTCGTTGACATCACGTGTAACGAAAAATGGCAAGGGTAATGGGGTGAATTATGTTTCGAAAGCGTAGAGGAAAAAAGGGGAAAAGGAGGAAAAAAGAAGGACGGATTAATTAACGGCGAATTAAAGAAATATAACGTGGAAATATCCTTCGGAGATGGGATTATTTGTTAAACAATTTATCGATTCGACGCGAACACACGTCAGAGGCTCGTTCGACGAACGAAACGGCCATAGCGAAATGGGGAAATATATTGTATGTCGTTGTCATTTGCGGCATTCTGCGTATTATCCCATAAATCAAGTAACAATAATGCAAACAAATATTCTATTCAAGTAACATCTATCGAATATCCGCTTCTTTTTGCGGCTAATGTTTCCAGAATAATTCTCCACCGGAAACGCGTCGTATCATCGACATGAATGCGAATTTGTTGACAGAAGTACGGAAAAAGCCGAGTTAAAAGGTTTCGTTATTCGAAACAGTTTTTACGTATCTTTTGGATAGTTAACGCGAAAGTATCGTGGTCTTTTCTACCGTAATTCAACGAAATAAACACGTTTATTTGCAATGCGAAATAACGGAGCGGTTATGGCCTTGCGTGAAATTATCCAGGTTCAAAAACCGAAAAATTTGCGGCATAAACTGTAAAACGTTTTAAATAGTAATAATTGCGAGATGCGAATAAAAATAAATGCAACGTAGGAGGTCGTATTATTTCGAGCGAAAAATATCGAAAAAACATTTGCGAAGATTAAAGACGAGGAATAGTACGATACCGGAATCAGCGACATCGCGATGTTGGGTCATGGAAATCGGTGTAACTCCTCCAAACAGGAAGATCCACACTGCGCGAACCACCGACCAAAATGTTACTTCAGTTAGAAAGAGGAGTCTTTCGGGATCAGACACACTGATCTACACCACGATCTAGGTAAATCGAACCAAACTATTTTAATATATAAATTCGATAAAACACATGAAACGTTCGTTTACATATTAAACCCTTCACGACACCAGGCAAAAATTCTCAATATCGAAAGCTAAATCTCTTCACCTTATTACTTCCCATCATCCTCCGTTAAATATATCGGAACAGAAAGATAATCGTATACATACATAATAACGAGTCTCATGCAAGTAAATTTCACAACAACTTTATCATACAAAGAGGAAAGGAAAGGAAAAAAAGGAAAAAGAATACAAGCAGCGTGATAGCAAGAAAAATTAGCTACTCTCCGAACGAGTCGCGCGATGCTATCGAAGATGCATCGCGAGACCGTTAGCCGATACAGAAATGGGTAAACAAGCTGACGAAACTAGCAACGAAAAGAAGAAACATCGGAAGCGTGAACACATATATATATATGTATATATATGTATATATATACATATATATGTATATATATATGTATATATATGTATATATATATATAATATGTATATACACATACATATATATATATGCATAGGAAGATAAATGAAAGGAACGTAATAAAAGATTTCCATCTTACGGATGCCCGTCCGGTGGCCTACCGCAATTCAGGCCGATCGTCATTACGGTAAATCATCCCCCGGCCACGATTCTCCCGGTTCTGTTACGGTAGCAAGAAACACAGCCGATCCCTGCAGGTCTGCCGGTCGACCGGAAGTTACGCAGTACCGCCGGTACGCGAGTAACGTGCACGCGGATTCTCTCTCACGAGGCACGGACGGGGTACAGAGAAATACGTCCGGATACGTGCTGCCGCAGAACGAACTCGCGAGATTCCTGACCATTGGACCGACCCTCGTGCATGCATACTTTAGCATAACGTTCTCTATACAATATCCAGAAAGAGGGACGAGGAGGAACGAGGGAAAGAGGAGTGGGACGTAGGGAGAGCCAAGAGACAGAGAGAGATAGGTACAGCTACCCTCCCTCTCCTGCCTCTCTTCTTCGTCGTCCTACCTCTCGTTGACCCCTTCCCATTGCCCTCGCGAATCGATTTGTTATTGTTTTTGTGTCTGCGGTCGTCGCGGCGAGCGGAGCGAGCGGGGTGTATATCGGTGGGTGGCAGCCCGGCGACCAACGCGAGTGGGTGGTGGGGAGTGGGTGCCAGTCGCGCTCTCGCTGCTTCAAAGGCTCGCTTTTCGGCCCGACAGAGAGGCGACCAGGAAGGGCGAACTGCGCGGGGGTGGCTGCTACCAGCCTGGACAGGGGGAAAGGGAAGGCCGCGGTAAGAGAGCACTTTGGAAGCTCGAAAGAGATGGACGAATAGATACACGCAGCTGACCAGTGGTGTAGCTCGTGTATGTGCCGATTTCCATCCCTCTGTGCACTCTTCTTTATAGCGGGGGATATTACGATGATATTTCGCCGAACCGCGGAATAACGCGGTATGAATATACAGATGATATCTTTTGTTTTATTCTCTTTGAGATGACTTTGAAATTTCTTCGTCGACTTATAATATCGTAATAGATTGAGAATAATTACGTATCGAGTAAAACATGGTTTGTTCGGTTAGTGAATGAAACCAATTCCTGTTCCAACGGAGAGAAATCCCGCTGGCTACGCCACTGGTTCCACGCCACCGAAAAGAGTGAGAGAAAATGGGTGGGCAAGGATGGAAGCTGGCACAGTGATGAGAGAGCAAGAGGGGGTGGAAATAGGGGGAGAAGGTGGGTGGACGGAAGAAACGACAGGGCGAGAGGGAGGAACCGCGAGGGTTAAGCAGAGAGGGGGTTAGTTGCTGGTACTCGCGGAGCAGAGGGAGACAGAAGGGGGAGGGAAATGGATCGGATTGCGTGGTCGGCACGAGGCTGGTTAGTATGAGTGCAACGGGATAAAAGAGAGAGCAAAAGTAAGAGGGCAAGAGATAGAGATGCGGTTAGGTATGGCAGCGTGTGTAGGTGGAAAGGAGTGAACGATAGCGGAAGAAAGGTTGCATCGGAAAGGAATGCAAGAAAATGAGAAAGTCGAGGTAAGACGAGGGAATACGTTTGACAGGTGACAACCGATCGGACCACTGACGTCACAGATCACTCGCTCGACCGTACGCTACACGCACAAACGCGATTTACTGCGGCACACGGACACACGTACACGTAGGAAAGAGAGAGAGAGAGAGAGAGCGCGCGCGCGCGACGTGTCGTGCATCACGCCGTGTTACTTCCGTTCCGTGCACAGAGTACGTCATACGTAAGCTTCCCACGCCGCGAGAAAAAAAAAACCGCGCGCGAGAGGGAAAATGTAGATAGACAGAGATAGACGGAAAACTAGAAAAAAATAATGGTGCGAGAAAGATAGGGATGAAACGGAACGAGGGAAAAAGCACGAGGTAAAGGGAGACGAAATTTTTCAGCGGAAGTAAGTAGTAAGTATTTACGATGCTAACCGGCCGATAGCCCCGCGCGACGCCTCTATCTGGTTACCATTACACTCGGATGTATGAAATGCGCCAGCAGCATACACCATCCCCCCACAATAGCCCTATTTATGATTGGGCAAAATTGCTTTCCATGCGCAGAATAAAATCGCGCGCGGGCGAGGAAAAATCCGCGGGGGTTGGATGCACGCGAGTTACGCGACCTGCGCCGCGCTGCTTCCATCACGATATTCTTCGATTCTCGAACGAGGACGCTTCGCGACTATGTCTAGATTGTTTCAATTAACGATTCATATACGAATAATCTTTATTCTTTCCATTTTCTTTACGACATCGACTCGCAAAATTTGGGAAAAATTAAATATGGCGAGAGGTCGCGGTCATGCGTATACGCGTCTCCAACCCCATCTTCTAACTCGCCAATCAGCGAACACGAGCTGATTTCAAAGAAATTCCGTCGGCAGCGCTATTCTCGTTTGAGGGTGTATCGTACATTGAAAAATTTTTTAAAATATTCTTATTTTTATTCGGTACGCTAGAAAATCTAATGATATTTCTTCCCTTGTTGCTCATCTTTTTATCCTTCGCGTAATTAAATATAACTAATACCAAGACTCAACAATAGTGATTATTAATTAAAATGCTTCTCTATGTATTTTCAAAATATGGCGACCTTTGCCCGAATTATCATACATTTGTATGTATGTTGCGATATTCGATAAAAAGATGAAATTGCTAGATTTGTGTCTAAAACTTATAAAACTTTCGTGTTAAATATGAAAATAACATCAAAATTTGAAACAGAATTTAAATTTTAATGTTTATTACATATGTAAAACGATGATAATTAGCAATAATATGTTATAAATATCAAACATTATAAAGATACAATATTTCTATAAAAAATAGTATCGTATGTAATTTGATGCCCATTAATTATGGTTTTGCATTAGAGTCAAAGATGCAGTTTTTAATGCAAGAGCTTGCAAATTACAAAGTTCTTTTTCTAACCTATAAATATAATGATATAACATTAGTAACTGTGTTATGGAACATAACCATTATAAAACAAAACCTTCTAGTTTTTGTACCTTTTTCTGTGTTCTTCGATATTATTAACAGTATCCACAAACTCTTTAATATTCTTACTGATATTTTGATACGATTCGTTTTTTGTTCCAATCAAATTCATGATAGACTTTAAAGTTTCTGAACATGATTTTAATGTCTTGCTTGTTTCTTCCCATTCCTCAGGTGTATCGGGAAGAACTATATTATTACAACGAAGTACATCCAGAGGTTGTAGACGAGTATGCAACTGAGACAGAATCTTTTCTAACATTTCATTATCGTCCCCTTCTATGGTTAAAATAAATTTAATCATTGCTAAAAACATATACCTAAGTGCATGATATTTTGAAAAATTATTTTTAGTTAATACTTACTAATACAATTATTTGCATCTATAATTTGTGAATCGATATCATCTTGTAATTTGATTAAATTAGTTATATCCCTTTCCCTGGTTTCTAATTTCAGCAATTTCGTCTCATTGTGCTCGCACTCCTTTGCTATTGTGGCTAACTCAGATAAAAACAATTTTTCATACTTCTCTGCGTTCTTTTTTACGATGATTTCTGACATGATCTTCTGCAAATATTGATCATAAAGTAATTTCAGTTCCATATCACTACATTCTGCGTCTATTATCCGCGATCCTTCTGGTAATGATTGTGAAGGAAATATCGATGAACGATCCAATATAATTTTTCTTTTTGAAATTCCTAAATCATACAAATGCTTGATTCGTTTGATTCTTAGAAATTTATTTTGATAAAAAAACTAAAATAAAAGTTCTACCTTGTGGTAAAGCAAAGTCAGATGTATTCATTGTTGCTCTATGATGAGAACTGCCTGTGTAAATATTTGTTGTGCCATCTGTTGTATTCTTTTTTGATAAGTCTGATACAGAAGCACTATGTACTCTAAAAATATATAAAAGATTATTACCCAAAAGAGACAGAATATTTTGTTTACCTTTTAATTCGCCTTAGTTTTGGCGTCGTTGGATGACCTTTTTGCATCTTTTATTAATAATTATTCTTATGCAATTAACTTAAAACTTCATGTTAATAGATTGTACGACATAACGATATCACTAATCGTTTATATGTACAAAATTTTCAAAAACATGAACTTAAAACCCTTAATTAATGTCAGATTATACAACAATGTCGTAAAATTTATCAATTTGAAACTGTTCGAATTATTTTGTAATGTTAGTGTCGCCCTCTTTAAATACTAACTTTTCCTTATAAATGAAACAGCCTTACAGTTGTAGGGATAAAAAGATGGCTAGCCTGTCCGATTGGTAATAGTGAATAGCATCTCTCTACTCTAGTACATTGTCATTATAGATATATTGGATAAGACTAAGCTATTGTTTTTTTATTTTCCAAGAAAAAGGTATGTTAAAGAAAGAAGTCTTTTGTTCCTAATATAATAAGATTTTCGTTCCTGAAAGTTTTCGAACAAGAGATCCCGTGTTATTTGGTGGAAACAAGTACATATGTATGTATATAACGTTCTTAACGACGTTTATAGAAAGATTATTTATTCTACGTAGATCTTTTCCAAACTCTTAATAAGAAAGTACTCTTATTTTGAACTAATTCCAAAATTTAGTTAGTTTATCATCTTTTTGTCTGTATATATATTAGACATATCTGTAATTTTATATAATGTAGACATCATATTTGTAATGAAACCGATTAATTTTTGTTCGAAACATTTTTTTTCATACAATCGGAAATTTCAAATAAAATCAGAGCAACATTAGCAGTTGTATTTTTCTAATACAGTAAGTATATTTCTAATATAGATTATATTTGCTATTTTGTTACCCTTTCAGATGTAGACATTTTATGACTATGCAATATGACCATTAAGAACTTAAAAGCAAAATTTACTAAAGGATTGTAGAGAGATTGGATTATACCTTTTGCTCCTATATCGATGGTTGATAGCTAGCCAACTTTCTAATTTTGCATATTTTTTGATGATAACAAGAATTCGTTAAAGATTGGGATTTTACCAGTTGTTTAAATATAATACATAACGAATATGGTATTTTTTCATTAATATATTATTATTTTATTTATCTATAAAGAATTATAATTTCTATTGTCACTTGATAAATATTATCTTATATTTTACTTGTAGAATTAGTTAGTATTGCATATATTATTTCAATATAATGCTTCAATAATTTTACTATAAAGTAATGTCATTATATAAATAATATTAAAACGATTCCATATAGTAAACAAAAAATAACAAATTTTAAATACTATTAAACATTATCATATCAGGTTAAAAAAAGGGAAATTCCATCAGTGATAAGGCATATTTTAGATATTGACACTCAATTATCAAAAACTTTTGTAAAATGGGCAGAAAATTTAGCATTTACACCACAGATAATGAGATATTGCACTGCATTAGAGGTATGTATATATTTTAACATAAATAATATAAAAATTAAAAAATATGAGGTAAAAGATCAAATTCTATTCTATTATTTTTATAGTTATCATGCCATGGAATAACTTGGTTTATATCATTAATTGCATTTATTTGGATTCTTGATAATAAGAGTCTGTACCAAATGCAAGTTAATTTATTAATTGGTATGTATATTAATTGAGATAAATAATAATCTTTCATAAACATCATAATCTAATTTTTCATGAAAATAATTTGAATACTTTTATTATTGGTATTATTATTATATTTTTAGCTCTACTACTAGATATTATTGTTATTGCTGTATTGAAAGCAATGACAAGAAGAAGAAGACCAACAATTAATAAGGATCCTACATCAATAGGACCTGATAAGTACTCATTTCCATCAGGTCATTGTTCACGTTCAATGCTTATTTTTTATTTCTTTAAATATTTGTATCCCATATCTAGTATCTTCCTTACATTAATGCTAATATGGGTATTTGCTGTAGGAATATCTAGGGTGTTAATGAAAAAGCATTATATTCTTGATGTTAGTGCAGGGCTATTTGTAGGCTATGTTGAAGGAATGCTTATGAGTCTTTTATATTTAGATGAAAAAACTTGTTTTTATTTAATAGATTGGATAAGTGATGAGAAAATTCCTGGTGCAGAATATGGTGTTTAAAATTATAAATATGATATTTGTTGAATTAATTTTTCGGCTATTACATCACAAAGTAAAAGAAAGTATTGTTAAGTGTAAAAAACTACTTCTATAAAAATTTTGCAAATCAAGGTATTTGATACAGTGATATATACTTATAAATAAAAGCTTATAAATAAATTTTATACCAAATAAATGTGTTAAAATAAATTGTAATATTTTAGGTGATTTATATTTTTATTTTCTGATTATGCGATATATTTTTATTGACAACGACGATTCTACTTTCATGTTTAAGTACCACCGCGCTATCATAAGTTTATAGATTTCTACAAATTTGATAATTAAAAATACGGTAATTATGCGGATTAGAGGTGTTCCAAAGATTTTAATGACTTTGAACTAAGTTATCAAGGACTTCAATCTAATCAACTTTTTCCTAAATATATTATCGCCACTCGGCTTTAACTTTTGAAATATGTATAAAAAATGATTGCTACTATTATATTGAATTTTGCATACGTACGCGTTCGTGAAGGCGTATATGCCTGTATAAGACGTTATGCTTATTCGATTTTTGCATAAGCGTATAATAACGGGTAATAATGATAACATGTAAGTATAGTGGTATGGTATCGCACTTGCTCCGAATGTCAAACGGCACACTCGGCGACGAACTAAAAATTAGCCTAATAATATCGGCAGCATTAACACATGTTTTTTTTTTTTTTTTTAAATTTTACGATTAGGTTTGGGTTAAGCTAATTTTTATTTCGTCGCTAAGTGAGCAGCGAAGCAAGTGCTGCGGCACTATACCTACTTGTTGACATAACAATTTTTGTGATTGTCTCAGAAACGAAGGCCGAGTTGGTGGTAAATGTATAAAGAAAAGTTGTTCAGATTGATATCCTCAACAACGTATTTCAAGATCATCCAAATTGGTGACAACACATCTAATTTGCATAATTGTCGAAAATACAAAATTTTTAAAGAATGATCAATAAATATATTTCATACTAAAACTTCATTTTGTTTTAACAAAATGTTAAAGTCAACGAGGTTACAAAGTATTGATAAAAAAGACCTCTGCAGTGTATAGTTTGTAGTATAAAAAAAATGGAATGAATGAAGTTCATTGTACAAATCATATATTCCTACATTTGTAATATATGAAAAAAGTCTTGTTCATATTCATATATGTATAAAATTACAAGCCAGCCTATATATATATATGTGTATTCTACACGATGGATTTTGGTCGTGTACTACGATTTTAATCCGTTTTTCTATATTAATTTACTAACAACTTCAACATTATGATTGTTCTAATCACTTGAAATATATTTACTAAATTGGTACAGGTATTTTGTTATACTTGTATTTAAATTCAAAGTGAAAGTACATAAATTTCCATTTTTTCAATTAAATATTAAATCTACAATTAAAGCTTGAAAAGGTGCAAGAAATCATTGACATCACGAACTTAAGAATTCATTTTTACGAAAATATAATTTGTATAATTTTGTTTTAAATTCTAGTCATACAAACCCAAGTATCAAGAAAATCGTTATCTTGTATTCGATGTAATATTATTATATGTAAATTAACAGTAGTCAGTAATAATGTCCTAATTCTTCTAACAAAGTAAAAAAGAAGTCTTTATGAACTGTAATATTCATTTATGTGTATTTTCTTTATGTAAATTTCATTATAACGTATTTATCTCAAATATCCCAGTTGTTCAATTTCCACCAAGCTTATTATTAGTTACCTTCCCATTGATATTTTGTTCCGAGGGGTAAAGCTTTATAATTTTGTCGTACATGCAAATGATATAATTTTCCAATATAATTCTAATATTGTCCCAACTTTTTAGTTTACCACAAAGGAGAGTGGTAGAATTTCAGATCTAATCGAGTGTGTTGATTGCTACCAGCTACTTCTTGGCTACACGAAGGCGAAGGTTTCATATTCTTTTCAGCTTTTTCTGTTTCCCGTAAAATGGTAGCCAGAGGAGTTGGTTGATGGTCCGGTAAAGCAGGTGTTGGTACGGTCGACAGTTCGCTCGAACGTTGTTTCTGTTCTTCTTCCGAATAAAGACTCAACGATCGTGGTCGTTCTGGTTTCAGTTGTGTTGCAGCCGGTGTGCTTGATTTTTCACTGAAAACAGTAACTTCCCATGAAGATGTCGTGGAAACGTATTTGGTAATAAAGTGCATTCCACGATCATAATTTATTTGTCGTGATTTATATTTTTATGAAATTATTATAATTATATTAAAACAAAAAACAATTAATATCGATTTTCGTAATAAATAATAATAGTAAAAAATATAATTAACGCATTACTACTTTTTAAATATCAAGTATCTTAGATTAATGAGTGAAATATTTTGTCTTCTTTTGCAATGAACTATCATTTCGCATTTATATAATAAAATATAATAATAAAAACATCACAATATTATGTTTTTGTATAATAACAAAAGCAAGTACACCATGCATGGATCACAACTTTTACAAGTGACGCAAAAGAAACTACTTACTCTGAAAACAAGAGTAAAAGGAACGTGTTGCCATTGTGCAGAGGATTTTGGGGATATTGAACTGGTGTTTTCATAGGAGTGGAATCGCTTAATATCTGTCAACGAAAAGGAAATAAATATAAAGTCCATGCAGCACATCCGGTGAACACTTTTTAATCATATGCACAAATGCGAGTGATCAGTTGAAAATAATCGATACATATCACAATAAATAAATATAACATATATACAGACATACATGCGCGAATTAGTCTAATGGGAAATACGTGTCCAATAAATCAACCATATTTGTGCGTTAAAAATTAAATAATAAAATGATACTTATATTTTAAATTATTCTTTTTAAGAATCAAATGTTGAACATCCTTCATAGCACTTTTTAAATGTACTTTTATGTATATCATTACTTTTATATCATTATTTTATCATTTTAATTTTTATATTTCTGTAGCTTTATAAAGGATATCCATTTTATATTTTACATTTAATATTTACAATTTATCAGCCAATAAATCGAACAATTAAATACAATACGCAGAGAATCATGACATTGGAAGACGCAAATTCATCTTCTTATAACGAATTAATAAAATAAATATTAAAATCAAAGACAACTTCTCGTCGCTAAAATCTTCTGTCTAAAGAAAGCAACATAATTAAATTCTTGTATGTTTTTATCGCCTATCAAAGTATCGAAGCGATTTTGCTCAACCCAAAACCTCGAGCCAACATTCAAGAAATTAAGCAAGAAGAAGATTCAGGAATTATACCCTATGCGCGTTCAAATGTGCGCTGGCAAGAGGTAGCGTATACACATTCAGTGTAAAAATAGTGAAAGCCGTTTATATCGCGTATTGCCGTGTTATTCATGTTTTCCTTAACCCTTTAGCGACCAACTTTTAGTGCCTTAGAGTCTTAATAAATAGATAATGTACCATTATAGAATACATTCAATATTTTTCATTACTGATCTAATACGTCACTGTCGATTACTGCACATTTAAGTCTTTGATGTAATTTAAGATAATATTTTGTGTAGAACGACTTATCTAACCATTGAAGAATTAATTAAAGCTTCAAGGCGTCAGATGACCAGGAGGGTTTCTGTACTCTCCATTCGTAAAAACAAATTAACAACTAATTAACATGTAAGCAACATTTGCATGATCATTCATTCTGGATGATTGTCTTTCGATTTTACTCACCCAGTACGCTCGGCGGATGGACCAAGCATAGCGGTGTTATGGATTATCTAAAAGAAAAGAAGCGTTAATGCATTCCTAATAATAATGTTATCGGTGTTATGTCTTCTTATGAGCAGCACTATTGTGAATGTTAAAAATTGCATTTAAAATTTTATTTTGAAGCAATATTTAGTAAATTTTTAATGTAAATATATTATTAAATAACGTTATGAGATTAATTTAAAATCATAATTATATCGAATATTCTTTAGTTACTTTAGTAGTTTAATGCAAAATATGTATTTAATTTATATTTAAATGTATGTATCGTATACTTGATACAGAAATATACATTTGTACCATCCTATTTTAGATACAAACTCGGGCAAAATTAAAATATAATATTTTCATTCTTTGTATCATATTTTATGGTATTATACTTACGTTGGCCATGGAACAAGGTGGCCGTGCTGCGGCATATCTGCCAAACGAAGTACGTGAAATGGAGGAAGAGTAGGGAACACCATTTAAACTGAAACAAAGGAGAAAATTATTAAACTGATATTTTTTGTTGAATAACACTGAAGTATGTAGTATCAATATACATATATCAATGTAGTAAAATATTACAGAATGATCAAAACCACTATTTACTATAATTGAATATTCTGAAATACTCTATTTACTTGACTTAATGTAAATTACTGTACAGTTTTTTATTCTGTAATTATTTTAAGTGAATAATTTTATTTTTTAATTATTATAGATAATAAAATATACCTTGAGTTATTTTTTGCAAGATTATTATGTACGGCGCTAGATGTACCGATATCAGCTGAGGTTTTTGGAGGCAAACTGTATCTATTTGTTCTCACATCTTGATGTTCTGTAAAAAATATAAAACAAACACATTACTAAATGACATTATATTAAAATCTAAATAAATATTATCAAATTTTAATACAAAAACAAATTATATTAAGAACTATTAAATATATTTAAATAATATTAAAACTTAAAAGAGAATTAAAACTACCTTTTAATAATACACTTAAATCTTTTGTTAACAGATAACCATTTTCATTTAATTTCTTCAGATGAACTTTATCACAATGTAAAGTTTAAAACAGTTAATTTTAGATTCTACTATACATTATCTTGTGTCAAGAAAATTGGACAAGCTCGTTCATATTCGACAGAATGTTGAGTCAGTGAGTTTATCGTTTAAGGACAACTTCGAATCGATTAAGGGATTTACATAATAGGGCCATTACATAGGATGACATTGACCGCAATTTTATGCCAGTCCAGGTAAGAACTGCCGATTTAGGGCACTTGCTGAAGGACGAACTATAAGAAGAACTCGATCTTCGATCCACCATTCTCATACCTTTAATTTGAAACCAGATCGACAATGGACTCATGGACGACCTTACACTGTTATGGAGCTACCTTGAAGAAGTGATGCTCATCAAATTTTCAAGTTATCAGAAACGACACTGACATAGCATATATATTAACGACGATAACATTTAAAACCTTTTGGTAAGTTAAAAATGAATAATATAAGTTAATAACGAATAATAATTTTTATGGAATAAATTTATAAATTTATAATTACAAATTTACTACATTAAAATATAAGTCCTTTAACTTTTTTTCATACAACAATTAGATCTTCCTTTTTTAAGTTTATTTAGAAATTCCTGAAGATCTATATCGAGATTGTTAGCTTAAAACTTTTCTTCTATCATATTCCGCTTAAACAATTCTTAGGAATTGCTACTTTTTATACATATCTTTTTAAATTTATTATTTCAATGGATGAATTTCATTAATAAAATTAATAATCATGTTGGCCATTCAATTAAACAGCAGCAGGTAATTACACGCCTGCTAATGATTTACCAACATGATCAACATTAACTTTGGACTCTGATGAAAATTCTAATACCGTAGTCGTTAACGAACGAAACCGCAGACTCATTTCTTCGACGAAGTAATTAGAGTCGTAACTGTTTAACGAACTTTACGCTTCAAAACTTGGTTTCTCAGTTTTTGTATCGAGGAAAAAGGCCACAAAGACAAACTAGATTATAGTACCACGTTACAAGTACCAACCTCCTTACTTTTCTGTAAAAGAATTACTTATAAGTTTGATATCTTTAGATACACTGGTTCATCCCTTTCATTTCCATTGATTTTTCTGTTTTCTTCTTTCCAATCGCATAATATGGTTATAAATATTTTATAACAAAGATAATGAGAGTTATTTAACACTGGAACTATTAAACCTGTTAAAATGAGTAGTTTCAGACCTTTTGCTTTTTCTTTAAAAAGAAAGGAAAAGAATATATTTAGGTATCTATTACAGGTCAGTAGTCCTAGTATTAAGAAAAAAATATGTAAATTATAAAATAAATGAAGTATGTACGTTACAGACTATAAATTCGAGAAAGATTGAAAAGAAAGAAAGGAAAAGAAATACGTACCGTCGTCAAAGAATCCTTGAAAAACGACAAATTTGTTATTCTGTGGAATAATCTTCGAGAGGTTGTAGTATTTGTCTAGGAAGGCTAAAAACTTCTCTGAGGGTCTATCGATCGCCAGTTTCACAGGCCTAATATTCTCTTCCTGAAAATTAAAAATAGCAGTTAGCATTTTTACCAGAAAACGACATAGTGGAAAAGTTAATATGTTAAACAATACATTCATCCCCCTAAATAATTCTTTTTCATTTTCCTTACACGACGTTTAAATAAATGAGACACTATGGCAAAGAATCGAAACGAGTTCAGTCACCTTTTGGGTTACCTTCGACCGTAAAACCCACGCATAATGACCTTTTGTCACGCTCCTCTTTAAGATCGTCTAATAATTTGCCACCGTAGCTTGAATACTACCATTTCTTATCGAGAAAAGAGTCACGAAACCAACGCTTTCAGCGTGCAAACATTTTTTCTCGACATTCGTTATTATTCCTGTTATCCTCGTACATAGAAAAGAAAATTAGAATCCAATTTAAGAAATTTCCAGAAAAGCAATAGCGAGTAAAGTGTCAATAAAGCACTTTTTACCTTTTTTTTAAAAAGTATTCAAGGATAAGAAACGAATATCGCACATTGCACAGACTGCGTGGAGATAACGTTCGGCAAAAGACAGTTAGACGTACAGTTAGGTTGAGGAATGGTGATTAGAGAATTGCACGCAAACCACGATTTCGTTGGCGAACTCCACTCTGACCGAGGGACTAACAACGTTTCGCGAGAAATCAAAGAAAATGAGAATCGATCGGTGAACAAGTAAGAAACAGGTTGAAGGGACGCTGAAGGAGGCGTGATAGAAAAAAAGCCAGTCATTACTCTGTTTAAGGACTGGCTTTGTGTTCAGTCGTATGCGTTCCGGTCTGTGCGCTGTTCCAGCTGTACGGAAAAATAAGAAATCCTTCATTTAGACTGCTGTGGTAACGGTACTCGAATAGTAACATGTTGCCTCTTACATCATTCTAGGCGCCTTTCGTATCCTTTTTACTGTTGATTGGCGTACAGAGAAATATTAAACAACTGGAATTTCATCCAATATCTCGCGACATGTCTGCGCGATATTTGCTCGGTATAAAAAAGACCTAAAACATTCGACAATATTAATAAAGTACATAAAAAGGAGAAGAAAGTAATTTTTTCACATTTTCAATGGTACAAAATAGCTATATACGAATTAAAAATACGATCTTACGTATTTTTAAATTGCCAACTAAAATTCTTAGGAGTATATTAACTTTTATATCGATTACGTGCTATTATACGATTATATACGAATATACGAACGTATGGACATAATTTTCACATAATTGAAGAAAATAAGAAATAAATTGTTATCGATTACATTTTCAACGAAGTCCACGGTATAGGACAAAATGATAGTAACTTCAAATAAAGAAAGATCATATGATTACAACTGAAATTTGATTTTGCAGAAACCTTTTAGTATTATACCACGCTATGGACAAACTTATTGGAAAAAAAGTATTATCTTTGGAATATTTTTTTGGAATATGAGTCAACCTTAACCCTTCCCATGTTTACCATGGCATGTCGAGTATATTCATCGTTGCTTAAAAATCATTAAACACACAGGTATAGACTTTCAAAATTAAATGAGACACTTCAAGGGTTGAAGCCTATATAATTCAAAATCGGAAATCATGCGAATTTCCAAAATCGGAAATTATCCTTGAGGAGTCATCCTGAAGTATCTACCATTTATCTGTATTGCATTAGTTTGAAGAAACACTGTCGTGTACTATAAATCTACGTCGAAGTTGCATATGTTGTTAAACGAGGCAAATGACGTTATACTCAAATATTGTTTTATACACGTGGCGTATGATCGCGATGATATCGTTTCACAAAGCCAGGAACGCCTGTTATCGAAGACGCGCAAAGAACGGAAGTCTGGTAGTTCAAGGTATGCGAACGAATCTTTGAAGAACGCCACACGTTTTACGACCGGGATCGTGTCCCGCGTACAAAATTACTAGCCGCCTACACGCAGAGGATGTGAATCGTGTTCGACGGTGTAAACGAGACATAATTACTTCCCGAGTAAAAGCAGAAAGGCGTCCCCGCGATCTTGATCTAAACCACTTCCATGGAAATCTTGCGCAAAACCAGGCTGTTGCTCGTTAAGTCGAACGTTGCGAAATATTGTCATTTCGCAAATGCTTGTAGGCAAACAAAATTGAACTGGCCGAGAATTAACGCGATAAATGGAGATGCTAATTTAACAGGTTCGATGTTATGCGGGATAAGAGAAGAGTAAATTGGCAGAATTCTACATTTCAGCTGGGAAAATTACGTTAAAATACGTAATCAGAGAAGGACGAATGTGTGAGCTGGTTTCTTGGAATCTTTGATCTTGTTTTGTATTTACATTAATTAACAGGTTCACTGTGTATGTCTGGGATTCGGGTCGGCACGTACACTATCGACCAAGGATTTTAAGTCTTATACATGTTATTGCCGTGTCTTCTGCTAATTTTAGTATTAATTTAATATTAGTATCATAGACATATCAATGACTATTTATTTGACAGTGTTTAGAGTAAAGAATTCTCCAAGGTGACTGATTTGTTGACAAAATTTTTGGATTCTATGCAACATGTGCAGAATATTGATAAAAAATAATACAAATTTGAAGAAAACGATTCATCATAGTTCATGTATAAGATATACACGTGAAACTATGTACAATATGAGAATGGATTTTGTATGGAAATTATTTATTGATGCATAGTTTAAAATAAGTAGAATTAGGTCAGTAGTGGACGTGTTAAATAGTATAACGAAGAATATACTAGACTATCTAATGAAAATGTTATTTATGGAAGCTTTTGTCTATACAGAACGAGTTAAATAATGATAACGCATCATTGGTTCAAGTTTTCCTTTTTCCATTCAGAAACGTACGTGCATGGAATTTTATAATTTACGTGGATTTGAATTTTTTATAAGGCAGAGAAAAAGTATAATTCGCATGCTAACCGCAGGCTCTATAGAATGTCCTGAACCGAGGTTAATAAGCTTTAATTACGGAAAAGTACCGCACTGGTTGGCAATCGTATTAGTTGAGCACCGTGGACGAGTGCACGAGGTGAATTCACGTGTCGGCAAGCCAACAACACTTGCTGTGATTCTGACAGAAGTGCAGCAACCATAACAGAACAGAGGGAAAAAATCTACTATACGCACCACGAACACCAATTCCCTACCAACCTTTATTTCCATTCCACGAACCTTGGTTGGCAAATTTAATATATATTATATCTACCATATTTATGATATAATGAATATAATGAATGAACAGAGAATTAATATAACATATTAAACAAAGTAACTGCTTATTAAAAAGAATTAAACTAATTAACATTGCTTACTCTCTTTTCTATTTCTTCATTCACCAATTAATTTCTACTTTTCGTCTTAAGAAATTAATTAATTTATCGAATAAACGCCTCATATCATCTCTATCATTTTACATAAATACTTATCATAGTCCGTATCATTTAACGCGTATCACTTAACAGTGCATTATATCTCGATTACAATCTTTGCCATAAGCATGACTCAATATTCCAATCCAAGATATTAGATTGTTTTCGTCGTTTATCATATTTTTATCTCAACAACGTAAAATGAATTAGCATCGATATTAGCTACTTTCACGCTGCATTCACCTCGAAATCGCAACATGAACTTCTCGCTTGCATTCCACACGATCCACCTTCCTGCCGGCTGAAACCATTCATTCCAAAGGCATTAATTCAACAATTGCATAACCACTTACTGAGAGCATGTGCTGATAGAGAATATTCCCAAGGCCCATGCGTTGCCGTGACTCGTGCACGTAGAAGTCCAGAATGCATCTTGGCTTCAGCTGATAATGAGCGCCAGTCTCGTCGAACATGAAGAGGTTCTTCGATCCGGTCTTCAATAGTCCCACCACGCTGCCCAGTCCGCTGTAAAATCGAAGCAAGGTTGTAACATTATGCGATGATGATTCACGGTTGCGGTCCATGTGAGGTTCGCGTTGTTAGACGTAGATAGAGCGGTGCAAAGCCCGGGATATGCATTGCCGCGTTTGCACGGGGATCAGTGACTCGGGGAACTTTGTGAACTGAGAACTGGACCACCGTGTCTTCGTCACTGAGCTGTTTTTGGGGAGCTCTCCCCGGCGAAATTGCTATTTGCACTTTGCTGTATTTGTTACGCGATGATCTTGCAGAACGGAATCTTCGATAGAGCCAATAAGACCTGGTTCCAAAGTTAAGATTAACTTTCAAATTACTTTCTAATGAGGACGACAAAATTTTATTAACGCTACAACTAGTGGAAAAATGAAAATGACAATAAAGATATTTGTAGTTGTATGAGATGCATTCACCTGGTAAATTGTTGAATACTTTTTATAACTGATAAAGGTTGGTGATACTTGGTTTTAATTTTGCAAGTTCAGATTTTCTCCGTAGAATAAACTAGACTGAGTCTCATGGTTCTGGGTTAGGATTCATTAAGTTCTGCCTTGTTATTCGTACTCTTCTCGCTTAAGCAACCACCGTCTCCCTGAGAAAGTTGTCTAGACTCTTAAACACATGGCAAAAAGGAAGTCCGCCGAGAATACGCGAGGAAGAAACTCGTCTCGATTGTTACTACTTTTCATGCTTCGTACACTATATTCCAGTAGAAGCAGAGAAATTCTTGGGTGACTCATACGGAAAGTAAACTCGAGTTTCTATACAAGCCAGGTTTATATCGGAAATTAACGGAAATCAATCATATCGACTTCACTGATAATGCGTAATCACAGTTGGAGTAATAAACAACTATGGAAAAACTTCATACGAGATAATCGTCGTACGTTAGGCAACGATTCAACCTAATGAAACATCGTCTACTAGTCATTATAGACTGTCATTTACAATTCAATACATTTTTAATTTACATCGATGTAATCAACATTCCAGGAATTTCACACGCTACCTGGTTTCCACACATCCATTATCGATATCCGCGATCCAACATTATTATAATGAATCGTGTAACCCAAGCCAGATCGATTGTATCTCAGCTAAGCTGGCTTCGTCGTGAGGATGGGAATTCGAGCGTCTACTTTCAGTAATTAATATCGTACATCGCGATAGAATGGCGTGAACACTATCTTTAGAGCTTTACGAGTCACCCATTGTCTCTGGGAACACGCAGCTATACCAATAACAATCTTTTACCAACAATGATGATAACAGGAAATAGGATAGAGATATGAAACGCTTTACGTGCGTACACCGCAGTTCAAAAGTTGGAAAATATTTGCTGAAGCAAACTCGGTTACTCTATCACTTTGATTTTAAATAAATTCACTGGTTCGTTTAGATTTCAAACTTGTAACAAAATTAGTTAAGAGTATTTCAGATTAAAACGAGCAGAGAAACTACTGCAAATAATGGCCTATTTGATAAAACTTTTCTAGTGGATTCTTAGTGAAGAATTACGAGACAAAGCTGGTGGGTCAATAAGGAAGCCTCTTCTTAGATCGACAGAACAGCTTTGGTAAATAATTGGAGATCGTTCAATCACTTCTGTAGAAAATCTTGGTAAATTTGTTGGAAGATACTGTGCAAATAGATTATCAAGAATCTCTACGAAAGAATAACATCGTCGATAATCGCGTGACGAGAAAGAAAAATCGCATTACATGTGTTTATACTTGAACAATCTCTTTTGAAAAGCGGTATACAGCGGAAGGATTCTGCGAGGATGGGAAAGCCGGATTTCTGCAGGGGAGGCGACACCAGACATATCGATCGTCCGACCATTTTGCACGCCACGAAACCCCTTATCCTGGGAAATACAGCTTCCTTTCCGGCCGCTACTCACGGCTCAGGTTGCGCTTTTCAAGAGGGTCTTCATCGTTTACCCACGATTTTACGGAAGCAATTAGATCGAGCAATTTACCCAAGCACGAATATTTAACATTTTTCAAGGAGCACTCTTCGTCTCACTGCGATAATTGCACTTTTCAGTTTCTCCTGTCGCATTTACTATTGCTGGGATAACTCGTTCTTCTTTGGAAAGATTAACATCTTTTTTCTTATTCCAATGGGATAGGTCTATGTGAAAATAACGTAATAGCTGGATTTTAAATAGACAAGGAAATGGAAGATCAAGATTATCTGTAGATGAGTAATCAACGAAGGATAACAAATTATTTGGAATAAAAAAAGTTAAAAAAGAGTAGCAAAGGAATTGGGATACTTAACGTAATGCTGGCAATAATAATTTTAATTATTATATTTTCTACTCGAGGAAAGGTAGATTCCTGAAATATCGCAATTCGTGGAAAATTAATTTCGTTATTCGATGATAAGGGATATTTGCTATCTAAAGATTAATTTAAGAATCTACAATTCTTGCAAGTCTGAAAATTACCATGTATCCAAAGGTAAATAATATATGAAATTTAAAGGACTTACTTGTTAGCTTCATTGTCCACTAATAAATAAACTACATGGTCCGTGTCCCGAAGTTTTAGGGCGTTGGTTATTGACTTATTCAGACCTTGGGCCCTAGCAGAAGCCTCGCCCATGTCGTCGAGAACTCTGCTCAATTGTCTCTGGCATTCACTGAAACAAGTAAATTTCTTTCTTAAGAAAATGAATTTATGACATAAAATTATCTAAACAACAATTGTTATTCATCTTGATTTAAATCTCTTTCCAACAAAGTTTATTTATAAGTATGAAAAATGTATCAGCGTTCTTGTAATATGTACACAGAAACACAAGCTAGATATTTTTGAAGAAAAAGAGAATTTGTCAAAAATTTGACCTGGATTTCGGAATTATTCGTTGCAGCATTATTGCAAGGTACGGTTTACAACTTAAATAGCACGAAACAACTGCTCCACTTTCGACTCTCTTCTCTTTTCTCTTGCCTTTTTTCTCGCATAATCGCTTTATTTCACTGCTTCCATCGAAGGCAAACTGTTCTTTTCCCTGCCACCGTACGATGCTATTTACTGTTCAAGATTTTCCATTTCTTCGGCTGTTTCGAGCGTGTTAGAAAGTTAATATATAATTCGATAATTAATTTCAGTCGAATACTTATCATTGCACAAAATCAGGCAATAACATATTATTGAAATTATCGATCTTATCAGGTATAATAAACGAGCGTTGCTTATTTGGCGAAGATTTGCAAGATTAGGAAATCAGAATATTTCGAAGAATACATTAAGTCGAGTTTCCATGGAACTGATTGTTACTAAGCACGAAAGATAATAAAATTTCCATTTTTCGTTCCACTTACAGCTGACCCTCAGACTCGTGAAAGAAAGCAGATTAGTTATCAGTGAAAGGCATTTTGGCTTATCGTCAAAAGATTAATCATTTTACTTTTCTTTTCTTTCTTCGTCATGCAACCAAACTTGTTTTAGACGGTTTCTAAATTACAGTAATAATATCTGACTTCTAGTACAAAGAATCGTGACTCTATGCACGAGATAAAATAAAATAAAGCAAACTACATAAACAATTTCTTAAGAAAGCTTAGAAAAAAGCTTAAGAAAAAGCTTATCATTTTTACTTATTCTTCAATTCGTTAATAATCTACTTTTTATTGTACTTTATTATAATATACCATTATTAGTTATTAAATCATGATAAAAAATTTACACAAGAGACAAAAAATATCGTTTTGTAAAACTATTATATTACTACATTGGTATAGATATTTTAAAATACTGAATAATTAACCCATAAAAAAGGTGTTTACAGTAATGGAAACATTTTTATGGATTTTGTTCCATTCCACTAAATTCCTAAATACCTAAATTATCAAGCAGCAAAAATTTGTTATTATCCCTCAATACACAACTGTTCTAAGTATCTCCAGTTTATCAATTCACGAAATACCTTCATACCATTCACGATTACACATATCGTTCGTTTGTTTCGTCATGCAATTACGCCACAATAGACTTGTTCGACTTTTCTTTCGAACACGGTGGTTCGTAAATCGATTACGCAATCCGATTATACATCGACGCTTCGAAATTGGCGTCTGAGTCAGCCTATACTCGGCCTCTGTTATCCTGTGGTTCCGCATTGTCCCGTGACTCCAGGAAACTGAAAATCGCTCGAGGAACCGATCCACCTGTCGATCGATGCGAATAAAATGTATTTATAATGGTGTCAGCACCTGGTGCGCTCGTTCATGGCACGAATAACGAATACACGTTAACTTTTGCTTACTCCTGTTATTACAAAACGTTTGGTATATAATCTATCATTATACCGTATTCGCATACCATAAGCTAATGTGTTACAAGATACGACCCAATTCATGCACTGGAATCAAGCCAATATGTTGTTTTGCAATGCAAATATCGATCGATTACGCTAACGTCCAGACATCGAATGGAACGATGATGGATCATCCAAGTCCACGTGACTGCTCTAAAATTCACCGGAAGTTACCACGTGCTCGCGAGGACACGAGTAAACGACTTTGGGTCTTGAGACTGTCGATGATCGATGGAGTTAAGAAAGCTTCAACTCTTACGTGATCAACTCGGGACAGTCAAGTTCCTCAATTTTGAGTACCTTTAATTAAGTATCACGTGTTTGGGAGGATGAAAGTAAACGACTTTGGAACTTGAATAATCGATCGTGTTAAAGAAGCTTCAACCCTTACGCAGCCAAGTCGTGAAAGTCATGGGCTTCAATTGTGAGTAACCAATTGATTTGTGAACATGCTCGCAGTTCTGAAAGTAAAGAATAATGTTTTATTATATACGAAAGTTTCTTCGTTATTATGGAAGTTTCATAAGGGAAATTCGTGTAGTTAATACCAATTACCCTATCTTGTTCAAAACAGAATAATAATATGTTATTATGGAGGAAAGTTCCTTAATTATCATGGAATTTTGAGAAGAGAAAATTGTATGGCCAATGCCACTTAGTAAATTCAATTCAAAGCAAAGAAGAAAGCGTTTTATTATACAGAATGCTTCCTTAATTATTGCAGAACTTTTACAATTATGATTCTATCCTTAATTCGTCGAATTTTAAAATCCATAAATTCGAATAGAATAAAAATTTCACAACTTTAAGTTCACCAAAAATACATCATTAAAATCAACATCGTACGACTACTTCTGTGTACAATGAAAGACAAAGAATCCATTACAATATTTGATGTTCCATCGCCATTAGACGTGAAATTTATTTTCTCATTACTATTCAGACCTTGCGAATATTCAAGTTCAAGTAAATACTAATTTCTCAATAGAAGGTTTACTGAAAAATGTATTATTGAAGTCAATATTGCGCGACTGCTTCTGTATACAACGAGGAGGCAAAGAGTCCATTAAAACATTTTGCATTCCAACGCGTTAGGCATTAAATGTATTCTCACTATTATCACCTAAGCTTTACATATATGGCGTGCAAGCAACTCCAACTTCCTATGAGTACCTCTCTGTGAATCTCCTTTACGCGATTATTGAAATCGTGTCTCGTAATATGTAAAACAGCTACGATTAAATGCGAGATTATTCCTCCTTCTGCAAATGTACTACCTTGTGGTAACCGGAAGTCAAGGAACTCATTTACATACTTTTTGAAAAACAAAGCTAAACGACCATTCGAATAATCTTCAACGTTGATAATAGTTGAATGCTTATCAGAAATGCTAAACGTAGTCGAGTGTATTAAGACTGTCTTTTATCAGCGACGTTTCATCATATCGAAGGAACGAGCCTTGGAAACTAGTATCAATTAGCTTTTATTCCGAGTCTCGTCGAGGTGCATCATTGGAAACTAGTAAAACGCGAAACAGAGTAATTCGGTGAGAGAAAAAGAGAAGAAAAGGAGGAAAAAGAAAGAGAAGCACGAGAAGTCGAATCGCAGAGTTTCGAAGCTACTTTCACGAGAAAAAGAAGAGCGTTTTCATGAATTATGTATCGAAAACGTGAATCGTTAAGGATGAGTACTGTGAAATCGTAGAGATCGTTTTCTAAAATCACCGTGTAGATATATGCATAGAGAAAATTACTTTCGACCATTAATTGAGTAGCATGTTCGTTAACTGTGATGGAAAGAACGATGAAGAAAATTAGAAGTCGGGTACATTTAGAAACGATACGAGCGTGGGGATATAAATTATATTAGCTTGCATGGTTTGATCGTTTAGTTACTGGTATCGATTGAATATTTTCGTTAGGCGAGACTCGATAATTTCCCTCTTGAAATATTAAGCCATGATTACAAGTGGCCATTACTTCGCTGACATAACATACTTTACTCGGATAATATAGGCGAGATTTAAATTGGCACGATAAAGTACCGTGTGATGATGGAGAGATCGCTAACCCTGTAGTTCAACTGCGTGGAACGAAATAATGCGAAATTTATAGGAAGAAAATCATCGTTTGATCTTCTCTTCGTTTCGTTTAGCTTCACTTATAGCTTTTAGTAGCAAGAATTTTATAAAAAATTTGTTTTCTTCGATAAAGATACAGGATCGCTTGACACAGCTCAAGTTTCTATTAAATAAAGAAAAGGAAAAGTAATTTAAGAAGTAGATAACTACGAAGAAAGTATTATAAAAATGGCTTGTTAAATGAATCATCGAGCATACCTATATGTCCAAACTTTTACCTGATGATTTACTGCGTTTTACTTTTCACGATCTATAGATTATGTATTTCAAGTTATGTAGGTTAATGTTATGGATGATCTTCACTGAGGAAATATTACGTGTAAGTTCGACGAAGGATCAAGGTGATCAAGGAAGTCGATTTATCGTTCGTTCTTATTCAGTGGAAGGCATGGATGTTGCTCTTCTTACCACGCTAATTCAGTACAGTCTGGATAAACCAGACGAAGATTTTGAAAATATTTAGCTCTTATATTAGATTTAAAAATATTTAGATTAAATCTAGATCCATTGATACCAAAATTTCATGTGTTTATATTAATGTTCTGATACATAATAAATAACTGTATCTACAATTAGAGTTCACCTCTAAATTTAATAAAACAAAGAACAATAATTTACACTAAATTTGATTTTAATTCAACATCAATAAAGTGAATTTGAACCAAATAATAAAACACAAAATCTGATGTGTTGTTCTATCACAATGTAATCTACAAATAAAAGTTCCAACAAAGATCCAATTTTCCAAGATTCAATCACGAAAATATAAAAGATAAATGTCATAAATTTTCCTCAAAAAGGTAAAACATCAATGATTTACAAACAGGATAAAAGTAACTGTAAACAATACACTGTCGACATAATATTTTAGAAACTATGCTGTTTCTAGGGGATACGGATATCGCCACTACCTACACGAGAAACTCAATCGAGATCGGTTACCAGCAGCTTGAGGAACCCGGTTTAAGCAACCCAGAGCATGAGACCTTGGTCAGGGATGCTCAGATGCCGGTAACCTCAGTCAGAAAAGCTCAGATATCGTGGAATTGTACTGAAGCCACTCAAAGTACAAGCGACCTTGCCATAGCCAGCCAGAAAAAGAGACCTTGACCTAAGATATTGGAAACTCGGGAAATCCAATGTAAGATACTCAAGAACTAAGCGTCCTGTCCTTTTCTCTTTTAAGGAAATCTTTATAATCTAAAAGCAGTATAATATTTCATCATAAACTTCCGTGAATACTACGAGTCACCGTTCAAGTACGTATACGAGTAAATAGTACTTTAGCTTAAGAAATGCGATTCTAATACAACGTTAAACACTCTAATGTTGTGAAAATAAATTTTATTCGGACTCGCTAACCGGATAGCTAAACCTATCAAATACAAAAACTTCCAGCTAATTCATACCAATAGCATCATGTACACGTATATACAAACTCGTATGATACTTTCAATTTCATCAGTGTGTGCAACGCAGATGAACCTTAAAGGGCCAGGTGTAATTTGTTTGCGAGTGCATTATTTTCAGCTGCCCGGTTAACCCTGTTCTAAACGCCCACACTGCGAGACAATAAAACGACCGAGGAGACTCGTGTGGCTGAAGCGAGTGAAACCGAAGTGTTTCCTATATTGAGATAATTCTTTCGCCTTGATATTTTCTTTGGCGTATAAAGAATGAATCTGATGAAAAATAAAAGAAAATTTTAATTACTCGTGTTTAATCATAGTTACCATACGAATACTTACATGGTATCTTTGAATTACTCGTGAAAAAGTTTATGGGGAAACCATTCAAGTATAAATAATTCAAGCCAACGTGTACGATTTCATTGGATACGCCAACTATAAGGTGATTATCGTGTAAGTTTTCTCAAATATTCCTTATGCAACGGTTGCGTGCAGATGAAAAGAGCAAGAAATCCAGCCAACAGCATTCGTCGTCTTGTTACGTGCACGCCGGTCGACAGAATATTAGATGAACATAGTGGTGTAGCAACTTTTGATTTGAAAATGCTAGCGGCATTAGGGACCAATAGGAAGGCAACTGGCCAGTTTCCCGTAGTCAATAGAGGGCAAATAGCTCTCACCTACACAACTATGCGCCAATATTACGCATTTTGCGACGATCGAAGTAACGCTAGTCGGTTATTAACAGATAAGACCATCTCGATTAACTCTTGAACTAAATATAAAAATATTTGATCTTACATAAACGCTATTTTTAATCGCACAGATAAATAAGAAATATTACTGATATTAAATCGGATTAAAGTTCACGGTTTAATTCGTATAATTAGCACTCAGCTGAGACGACAACAATATATAAAAATATAAAACATGAAATTTCGTCAATTTAATTAGTATTGCTACTAGAAACAAGTGCAATAATTCGATCAAGAATATATTGCTGTATTGTTGCTTAGAAATAAATTTACTGCTCACCAGTGAATTCTATCTTTGAGCTACTGTCTAATATACGAATTTGTTTATGATAAAACTCTATTTATTATTGTTATTATTAATGTACATACATGGCGTTCTCGTTGTTTAAGCTCTCATGCGAATTCCTCAGATATGAATTAATTGTTTCAAATATTCACACTAAAAATTATAAACAAATTAAATAATTCCTTAAAAATAATAATTAAGGAATGAATATAAACGAAGAAAAATATTTATACCGTAATAGAAAGATTGTTAAATAGTAATGTCCTGTAGGAATTCGAACACGCCAACGCGTGTTTGTTTCATTGACATTTACTTTCGCCATCGATTTACTAGTAATATCGGCCAATGTGACAGTGTCAATGTGCTCGAACGTGTCAGATATACATAGTTCATCTACGTCGCACTAGGGAGAACCGATTATGTCTCGGGAAGTCACCGAGACGTAAGAATGACTTCAAATAACTATGCCGATGTCATCGATGCGAAGTGAAAGTACCTGCATGTTCCATATTACGATATAACCTTGAAGATGACGATCGCAATAAATAACCTCTTACGGCGTATCGATTTTTCTCACCACTAATACTCGACGTTCGTATTTGTAAACAGTTCGAAAAAATTGGTGACAAGCTGATACATAAGCAGATATTTATAGCTTGTGTTTCTTTGTTTACATTGTACTTAGGATGTAACGTGCTTTAAAATAAGATTTAAAATAAGAATACTGAGATACAAGTTTCGACTGTAAACACATGAAAATACATTTACCTTGCAAAATAACGATAATAACGATGAAAGAAGTACTCACTTTAATTCACGACGATCACCTCTGAAATTTTCTGGAATGAGGGTATGCGTGACCTTGTTGATCTTTCTGGGCAAGAGTTTATTTACGTTGAACTTGAACTCCATCTTAACGAGTTTTTCACTACGTCGGTTTCACCGATTTTCACCCGCAGATACGTTTAACGAACGGTTCTTAACCTTTCAACGCTCTTGTCACTTCACCCGATGTACCACCTTCCAGTTTTTTTTCGAAACTGTCTCGAACGATTGTCCTGAATATGGCGGTCAATGGCATCCACCGAGCCAACTTCACTGTGCCTTTTCCGGGGGAATTACGATATTTTTCGTATTCCTCGAAATTGTTCCAGTCATAGCAAAACGTACTTAATCATCAAACGATTTGATTGTTTGTTATGTCACGCTCTTTGTCACACGAATTCCCTTGCTGTCACGTGGCTGTACGCTATGATGACTTCTATTTTTGTTTCTTTGTGTCACTGTCTCGTGCTGTTTCACTTAATTTACAATGAAATCTACGTATTAGACTTCCGCCGATACGATCGGAATCCTTCTTGACACGGTGACGAACACTCTATACGATTCTTCAAATCGATCAGCCCTGCACGGACACCAGAATTACTTCGCGATTCGTCTGCAACTGATATCCATAGCTGCTGCAACGTCGCTTTTTCACCTCCGCGACTAACAATAAGTTGCAAGAGAAGTTAGGTGATATACACTGTCGTATCTTCGATAATCTGACAGCTAAGCGATGTGATGATGACGCATATCGAAGTAGCTGAAATCTCTAGGACGAGTAAATTGATTTCAATAAATGATTATACAGTTGATGTATACAATGTAGTAATTAAAAAGAGAAATTTAATAATCACACGGCGTTTCACCTGACGAATCGCTGGAAGTCTCACAGTTTACTGGCGAGCGGTACGTTCAATTTTTTCCTGAAAGCCGCGAGCGCGCCGAGATGCGCACGCACCCGAGAGCCGCGAAGCATGACGATATATTATTGCGCATGCGTCAAGATTCTTCTTTTTCATAAAAATGATTGGAAAAATATTTACTAGATTAATATATCAGTGCAACAGATATTAATATTTTACTATATATACACAATTAAAATATGTAAGGAATAATCAATTTTGTATGTAAATTATTTATTAATTATACTATATGAATGTATTTTTAAAGATTAAAACTATCGTGCAAAAAACAAATACCTTTTAACATACCTGTTATCTCATTCTATTGTTTTCAAAACCACCTTCGTTTGTGTAAATTAATTTTTGTTTATCCCAATTTTATGTTGTTTTGTAATATAATTCTTGTTATGATCACTAGATGTCGTTAAAGTACCATCAGCTTAAGATCGACTGTAAACATTGCATGCTTCAGGCGGAATGTAATGGATCGATAAACGCTGTATTTTATTTTCATAAAAATAAAATATTAAATTACATACATATGGAATAAATTATTTATGGAAGATAAGTGAAATGAAAATATCGATGTAATTATTTCTTTTCATAAAATTTTAAGATACTATTTGGAAGCCAAAATTCGGAAATAAGAAATTTACGATATTAAAATATATAATAAGCTTATCTCAAGGTAATTAACAATTCTCGAATGTTTTTGAATTATAATATTTAATACTATGACACCTTGCACACTTTACATCGTTAAATATACATCATTGGAAGACAAAAATATTTTTATTGGGAAACATATTCATTTGTATTTTATATTCGAAAAATTAAAAGATATTATAACGATTATTTGTTATTCGGTATGTATTTTTTCGTTTATTTAATCAAATGGCATCTCAACTATTAAAATTCGTTACGACCTTCCATGAAAGTTGCACGTTTACTACTGACGAGATACATCATATAAAATTTGCGCGCGCATCTATGGTGGTTATGGTGGCAGCTGTATAAGACCATTGGTCTATTCAATATGATGTCACAAAGTAAATCTATTTAGAAATCAAGGTACAGGTATTAGCTTAACAACACGTGAAATGCGATGAGGCTTAAATTACGAAATCAAATACCATGAAGTATAATAAAATACACATGAATTTAACTTTGACTACAATATTTTAACATTGTAAACATACGAGTACATTATACATATCTTAGGCATAAAGATTTATTTATTAAGCTTTTTACTTACGATATCATGATTTATTTATATGATAATTCTAACTAATTGCAATTATTTTAGTTTATCAGTATTCATTAAAACAAAAAAGAAAGAAAAGAAACACGGTGAACGTAGTAAGCACAAATTACAAGGATAATAGTCGTATAGTAGAATAGTTGGCAACAATCCAAGTTAAAGATCGTAGACTGGCACGGGATATATCACGGTACACTACAATTAATTGTATTCGACAGACAATCTTTGCATATGACAAAGATTGTTAAAGGAAGAGAATTTTAAGGTAAACAAATGCGTAATACTACTTGTAAATCGATCCCAAGGTTGTCACGTGAACTTGTCCAAATACGTTTTCATATAGAAAATATATAAAAGAAATTTTGCCTAAGATTGAAGAATAAATTTAATTTAGTCTATAAAATTGTATGCAACTTTTATTGCTGATGAATTACTGTCATTTTTATATAATTTGTTTATTTGTACGCTCGCTTCCTATTAATAGGTACACTTACATAATCAATGGTTTGTTAATTGTTACGATAACACTGATCTAACAATATGATAAGTTATTCACCCGAAAGTTTTTCGAGGTTCCTTCTTCTCGATTCGACCCTGACAGGAAGGATGCGCGTAAAATATCATCTTTGGTGATCACCTCCCAGAAGCAGAGCGGGAAAAAAATATTTTATAAAGCACGCCTGCACATATCAAGAGTACGTGATTCGTTTGTGAACTGTTTGTTAATAGGCTCCGTAAGCACCTCGTATTCCATTACACCTATATAAACTACTACTACTCATCAGTGAGGGTTTAGTTGACCGATTACTTTAATCGAGTACGGAGAGCTGTTTGTTTTATTTCGTGTTACAAAGGATTATGATATTCCTATGGTGTTCTTAAAGGTGAGCTAAAATTCATTTTGAAAATCATCGTGGAATACATATACATATATACTTGAAATGGATTCGATAAATTCATCAAATACAATTAAATAAGTTTTGAATGAAGAAATAAATTAGAGATGAATAATTTAAAGCTTAAAATAATAATTTATTAATATGAAAGCATCAACGTTAATTAAATGAATGAATATGAATTTTATAAAATATCAAAAAGTGTTTTGATTTGGATCCACGTGCGTTCATCCGATGCTATTGGAATGTCATATATTTAATAAAACGTAGCACGTAAATATTTCAATCTACAAGATAGCTGAGAAGTCTGAAGAATTTATATGTTGATAATCTTACATAATTAATAAGTGACGAGATATACATACATAAATAAAACTGAAATATATTTGTTAGGGATGAAAAGTTTACGTGACTTTCGATGGAAGGTATGACGTATTCTAAGTACATTATGGACTTTGAGCAAATCTTGAGTGATCCATACGAATCTGGTGGGAGCAGATGCTTAAATAGCCTGAATCTCTATGGGTACGCCAGAGTTCGATGTTGCGGCTTCAAACACATTTTCTTAAAAGTATTTCAGTGGGTCATTGATATAAGAAATTATAGATCTAAGAAAATATGGTTGTTACAGCTCAACAAATAGTAAGTGGAGGAAAATATTTCGTGATTGTGTATGATAACTAAAAAATCGCAAAGTTCCATTTTAAGTAGATTACGTAAAGTTTGAGTGTAAGTTAATTACACGAAACAAAGCTGTGTACTAGAATAAAGTTTAGATGTATTTTCAATCGTTCATTCAGTTATTTGATGTTGTCATTAGTGTCATTATTCTTGTAATTTATTTCTAATCAACAAACCCTATTTGTCGTTGTCATACATTATTATTCGGCTGGCACATGCTCATAACCAAGAGCACGTACGAATGAACCAATTAATAGAAGATCCAACTTGAATAGTCAATGACTACCCCCCAACAGAACTTAATATATCTATTTATATCAAACAATCTTAAAATTAATCCGTGAGAACCCTTACAGTGTTACTAACACGATGTTTCTAAAATCGGCGAAATAGATTAAAAATTTAATTTAAAAAAAAATTGTTAATCAAATAATATCTCAAAATAATTTAACGTTAAAGGTATAGTACTCTATTATTAGTAGTATGTAGTATTACGTTTTCTGCTATTTTAAGAACTTTTCAACCAGACATAAACCAGACAGTCCCCTTATCTGACGAAAAAAGTCTTATAAAGAATCGAGTAAATAAGTACGCAGCTTCAAGACAGTAATTGGATTTGCTAACAAGTTAGCTTCCTTTTTTGTCCACACGTAGTATACAGGATGATTAACTTCAGTGTGATAAAGACAGTGAGTGCAACATTTTAAGAAATGTTCATACGTCATCCTTTTCTTTAAACGAAAGAAAAGTCACGAAAATAATTTAAAAATCTAAAATGTATAAATAATCGTTCGTGTTATATACATCTTTTAAAATCCTCGAGATTTTTCATATGGTTCATTAATTTTTAGTTTCAATTTTTATTTTAACTCTGTAAATGAAATTAATACATAGAAACTAATAATGTAATATGCATCTATTGTTTTTGTTTTACTAGTGGGAACATACACCTTCTGAGGCGTGGATATATCTCGTCATTTTAATCAGCGTTTATATCCTGTATGTTCTGAAGAGTTATATCAGGAGCGTTATACACATTTCTCGACTAAATGGCCCGAAAACCGTACCATTTATTGGAAATGCAAATTGTGCTCTCAAAGAAAACTGTAAGCAATTGACTCCAAAAATATTTAAATAAATTTTCAAAAATTGATAACATTACTTATAATAAATTTAATACATAAATTAAACGATATACATTTTCTAGTAAACCATATCTAAAGTATCGTGTAATTTTCAGTTCTTTATAGATTGGCACACGAGAATCAAGCTTATGGACGCGTCATTAGAATATGGTTGACGATATTGCCATACGTAATGTTTCTAGAACCAGAAGATATCCAACAAGTACTCAGTAATACGAAACACACGCGCAAGGTATTTTTCTACAAATTGTTAGATAATTTCCTTGGAAAAGGCTTGATCACGAGGGACATGGAAACTTGGCGTGTCCATCGAAGATTTTTGCAGCCAGCTTTCCACCTTCATATTCTCGAGAAATTCACGACCACCTTCGCGGAACATGCAGATCACTTGATGAAGAAGTTCCTTGAAAAGGATAGTCAGGAAATCAATATCACTACTTTCATCAATGATTCTGTCTACAATATTTTGAGTGGTGAGTAAAAACGTATTTGACTTGTTAATAAAAATGTAAACTGAGCAAATGAATTAACTTCGTTTCGTGAATTTCATAAACAGTTCGCTTATAACAGTATGCTTTGTTTAAACATTGTGCCATTTATTTTACATAGACACTAGTTCTATTAATAGCATTTCTTTTACTTAATATAGCAATATATTGCAAGTAGAATTACATTTTTAATCGCGCATAATTGTTACTTAGAAGGAATATTATTCTTTTAGAATATTTAAACGTTACTTCATATTCAAACAAAACGTACACGCTTTAAATTATTCACAATTGTTGCACTTTTCTGCACATTTCATTATTTGCGAATAATTATTCAGAAACACAAAATGTACATTTGGAAAAAGTAGTACTTTGAGAAGTCATATATGTTTCGTTTGATTTGCGTAATTCCACGCAAATGCACTTCGTGTATGAATAACAGAGTCAACATTTTGTTAGTCAAAGTATTCACATCTTTCGCAATTCTTTTATCGAAATCAGTAAAATATTATGAATAACGTACAGAATTTTTATTTACTACGAAGTTTATGTAATATATTCAATAGCGTGTTTGGCATGAGGTGCATTGCCACTAATTGCGATTGCGTAGTAATATATTTATAATTAAGAAATTTGCATTCAGTTCTACTTCACGTAATTATCGTATTATTTGATGAAACATATTTATCTGCAATTGAAATGCCATTAAATACAACAAAAATACTATGTTCATTATTAAAATTCTACGATTAGCAGTTTCTTGGAATATTGCGAATATAGTGTACATTACAATTATGAACAGGTGACGAAAAAATGATGCATCAAACGTATTTTGACCATAGATATTTTGACACTCAGTTAATACCTTATCGAGAAATTCTTTATTAGTAAAGAACATGACAAATATGTTATTTAATGAGAAAAAGAAATGTAAGTTTTTCTTCGAGAACAACATCTGAAACAAATTTTAGTTAACCCAAGATCTAGATTTACATACAGATACCATAAATTTTCGTTGCAAAAAACTGCTTAACCTTGGGAAAACATCTTTACTCATACATTTTGGACATTACATTTCGTTTCTAAGAACTGTCTTGCAATGTTTGAAGTAATTATTAACTGTTTGCAGAAACAGTTTTGGGAATAAGCAGTCGGAATACCAGCGAAATGGACGATGATCTGCCTTTTCGAAAGTGAGAATTGAAAAACATTTTTGTACTTTTCCTATCTCCAACCATAACATTGTACTAAATAATATAAACAAATAATGTATGCGAATTTTTCTTTCAGGGGACAAATTATGCTCTTGTACCGGATGGTTAGACCTTGGTTATTAATCGAATGGATTTACCGACTAACAAAATATGGTAGACAGGAAGAAAAACAACGAAATGATCTTTTCAATACTTGCTTTAAAATGATGAAAGAAAAACGCAATCTTTTACGAAGTAAAGAACCTGCCATTCATGATGAGGCAAAGAAGAAGAGAAAAATGTCCTTACTAGAATACATGGTGGAAATAAACGAGAAAAATCCTTGCTTCTCCGACGAAGACATTGTTGAAGAGTGTTGTACATTTATGTTAGCCGGACAAGATTCAGTTGGCACAGCGACTGCAATGACGATCTTCCTTTTAGCTAACCACCCGGAATGGCAGGATAAATGTATAGAAGAGCTCGATGAAATTTTTAACGGAGACTCAAGATTACCCACGATAAGTGACCTAAAAGAGATGAGATGTTTAGAAATGTGTATCAAAGAATCACTTAGATTATACCCTAGTGTACCGATAATAGCAAGAACATTAGGGGAAGACGTAAAAATCGGTATACCTTGTTTACTTTCGATGATATAAAATTAATTTAAAATCGTTAAATAATATTAATATGTATTTTAGGAAAGCATGTAATACCAGCTGGTTGTAGTGTATTAATATCTCCTTATAGTACGCATCGTTTACCACATCATTTTCCAGAACCTGAAGCATTCAAGCCTGAACGTTTCAATTCAGAAAATTCTGAGAAAAGGCATCCTTACGCTTATATACCTTTCAGCGCTGGACCAAGAAACTGTATTGGTAAAAACACTTTACGCTATCATAAATTTTTATATTTTTTTATAGAAATAAATTATTATTTATTGGATGTTTCTTAAGGTAACAAGTTTGCAATGCTCGAAATGAAATCGATGATTAGTGCAATTCTTAGAAGGTGCCGATTACAATCAATTCCTGGAAAAGAAGAAGTGCGACCGAAATTTAGGATGACAATTAGAGCGCAAGGAGGACTTTGGGTGAAAGTCGTTGCACGTGATCAAATATCGAAAAGTGTTGTAACATAAATATAAATTATTATTGTAATATATTTGATTGTTTAAAAATCTATTAACCATTTAAAGTAGACTTAAAATTTTAAATAGTCTGGTGCAAGTAATGTCTCATTAAGAAATTAAAACAATGCATTGTAATATATAAATCATTTATACCTTTATATAGATATTGAACGTTAAATATACAAGTATTAGTATATAGCAAATATTTAATAAATATTAAATTAATCATTTTTTGAATGATTTCCAACGTGGATATATGTATTTTACTTATACATACTGTGAATAAAAATAAAATTTAAAATTTATTTTATAATAGAATTAAAAATTAAAATATGAGACATCATATTTTTAATTATAATTTATAATGTTTTATTAAAGATAGAAAGTCATTTAACTAATGACGCTTCATATTGAAAAAAATTCACATTTCATGCTTTTGTATAGTATAATACTCCTGAAGTTAACGCTAGTTTATCATTTGCACTTATCGTTCAATATATGTGTAATGTGACGTGTCTGAGACTGTCAAACACATCGATTTTGGTTACGTTTATATAAACGTGATTAAGCAATATTTTATAATTGTATTAATTACAAATATAAATTAAACGGTATTTTTCTATTAAATAACCACGAAAAATGGTTTACGTATCAAGTGGTAAAGTATTAACCTTTGTATGATTCTAACATTCTATACATCAATCTGAAAACATTATATATATATGTATATATATCAAATACATAATTAAAGTGATTGTTATAAATAAAATATATTTAATAAATTTTTAGCTGGAAACGTCTTAGGTGATACTCCCTTGTATTTAAAAGTGTATAGATTTTTTACACACGTAATTCTCATGGTCATTGTATTGTAAGTAACCTATAATATTTTTCATATTTATTAATTTATTAATCAAAAAGGTATAATTGAGACAAATTATTTCTAAACAGTTTCAAAACATTAATCAATCCTGACATGAACAAATATGGAAGTGAATATACAAGAGATTATAGACCTGGCTCTGGGTAAGATTTAATGTGACTTAACAATAAAGTAATTTGTATTTTTAGAATATGTTCTCTACAAATTTATTTACTAGTTTAATATTAATATTAAAGTATTAATGTTGTGTATTTATATATAGGCCACCACGTCCACCAACACGTAGAATAGGAAGACCTAATACAGGGCATACTATTGATATTCCGATTGGAGGATGTAGAAGTTGTGTTGGATAAAGTAAATTTTAAATACAATAATAAAAGACCAAAATCTCCTAATTTCTTCATACTCGTTATAACTGTAAGATTGAAAAATTAAGTTATCTATCAATTTGAAATTTGTATGATGGAAAAGTAATGAACAAAGATTTTAAGAACTATTTTACTAAATATATTAAATTAGCTTCAAAAATATTACAAATCATTATAAATATATTATACATTATACACTAATTAAAAAAAAAAAAGTAAATTTTCTATGGCAAATAAATTTTATATTTACACATATACACCCACCACACATATGCAATCATACATACATACATACATACATCTAAAGATATATATTTATATATATATTTAGATGTAAACATAAATTAAGAAAGATATGATATTAATTTTTGTGTATTTTCAGTAATATATAAATATACAGCTATAATACATACATAGCTGCAGTATGTAAATACATAACTGCATATAGCAGTACACAAAATTAAAAAGATATTTCTAGTATTAGACTTACAAAAACGTAAATTTCTTACATTTTTGTTACTTAATTTTTGTAATTAAACCAGCTGCAATAGTTGTTCCTTCTACACGTAACATAACTCTACCCAATTGCTTAATATTTTTATATAATTCCATACAAACTGGATTTTGTGTTGTAATTTCAATAATAGCACTTGAATTTTTTGGTAAGCAGCGTGGTTTCTTCTTTACTATTTCACCAGTGGTTCTATGAAGTTGTGCTACTAATTTTGTAATAACAGCTGGTTGGACTAAAGATTGTTGATGAATTACTACAGGCAGACCTTTCATAATTGGTATTTTCACAACGAATACAACAACATGTGCTTGGAAACATGTTGTTACAGGAACTGGATTTTGAGGATTACAAATAATGTCACCAATTCCAACATTTTGTTGATCAATTCCTGATAATGTTAAAGAAATCTGATCTCCAGCAAATGCATTCATTATAGATGTTTCATCTACTTGTAAACCTGAAATTTGTTTCCACAATTTTGATTACCATTATCTATTTGGATAAAAAGGTTATATAAAGTTAATATACCTTTAATTACTGCAATTTCATTTCTTGGCAACACTAAAACTTTATCTCCTAAAGATACCATGCCTGTTTCTACATGACCAGAAACACAGAATCCAGATCCTGTGCCTTTAAATATATCATTAACCGAAAAACGGAAAGGTTTATTTATATGTCGTTCAGGACACTTAAAATTATCAATAACATTGACTAATGTTGGTCCTGTATACCTACATGATAAATAACATTGATTAATATATTACACTATCTTGATTTTTAAATATATTAAATGTTCTAATAGGTATACCAATTAGATAAAGGTTCTTTAGGCTGTGTTAATATATTTTCACCAGATAGACCACTACAAGGAACAAAAGTAACATTATCTTTGAATCCAGCTTGTTTCAAGAATACACTCATTTTGCTAACTATTTCATCAAATCTCTCTTCTGACCAGTCTACTGTATCTAATTTATTTACTATTACTGCTAATTGCGATATACCTGGAAGATTAGTTACTTTTAATAAATGAAATGTTTTATGTAAACATTTCATATAATAAACTTTAATACCTAATGAACGTAATAATAATGCATGTTCTCTAGTTTGGCCACCACTGTCAAAACCAGTCTCAAATTCTCCTCTGGTAGCATCTACTACTAATAAGGCTACATCTGCTTGTGTGGCACCAGTAATCATATTAGGGATAAAATCCTTATGTCCAGGTGCATCTAATAAAGTAATAGATTTTGTTTCTGTTTCAAATTTAGAATGACCAACATCCATCGTTATTCCACGTTCCCTATTTAAAAAAATGATATAAAATTATGAAAATTAATCAATAATAAAAAAATTATATATTAATTTCTTTCATATTAGGAATTTTAATCACCGTTCTTCTCCTGTTTCATCAAGAACCCATGCATAAGCAAATGATTGTTTTCCTATTTTTTTACTTTCTTGTTGATATTTATGAATCAATCTTGATGGAACTTGTCCTAAGTCACATAAAAGTCTTCCTAATAAAGTACTTTTACCCGCATCTACATGACCAACCACAACTAAATGTAGCTGATCTTTGTTATCTCCTCTTTTATCTTTATAAATCTTCATAGCATCAATTTTTTCTTCATTGAGTTTTATTTTAGTATCCAGATCAGGCGTTTGATGTCCTGATATTGGAGACTGAGATCGCGGACTATTTGTATTCGAAGAAACTGTCTTTTTCTCTTTCAACAATACATTTTCCTTTCTTTTTATTTCTGGGCTATTATAATCAAAGTATGGACTCTGAGAGCGAGAACTTTTAATACGAGAATTTAATACATCTGTATTCTCAGTCCCGCTTACATTAAAGCCTTTTACAACTGGACGTTTCCCAGCAGTAATAATTTTCACACTAGTAGGTGTCGTAACTTGAAATGTAGGTTTTGATGATAATTTTTTACCTATTATAAAATTTATTGTGAACTATTGTTATTTTAATACTAAATGAAAGAAATATCTAATGATTTTAATATAGATGTATATTATTAGTTCAAGTATTAAGAATACATTTTCATTTAAAAATTTTGAAAATAATATTTACATGAAAATTGTACTTCACAGTGAATATAATTACATGAATAATTAATTATTAAAATTAATTATCTTTTAATAAATTATATTATGTCATCTTATATGTATATTAATTGTAACTTTCCATATGTTCAGAAATATTTATAAAATTTATAATTCAATTCTATGTTCATAAAAGTGATATTTGTAATATTTGTAATAATGTTCAAATAAAATAAAATTATATGTAAGTAAAAAAAATAATAAATATAACAAGAAATAAAAAACTTTATCCCTAATTTAAATATTTTTATTGTTACTACGTACTTTTAAAGTAGAAACATATGGAATTGAAAAATCAAATCTTTTTACTGTTTGATGATCCTTTTTCTGTGGCTTAAGAATTGATTTTTTTAATTTCCATGTTCTACATAATGTTCTTCCAAACAAAGAAACATTCTTCGTATGCGACAGTTTAGCATATCTTAGATAACGTAAATCTGATATTGTAGGGAATAGAACATATGGAATTTCAACATTTGTATTAGAAGATTGTAAACTTGAATTGGAAATGACATTATTAACATCTTCTGATACTTTTGACTTCGTACAACTACAATTATCCGAAGTCAGAGATATGACCTTTTTTAAAGTAGAAGTTAAATCGATTATCCAAGGATCTGGTGATGGTGTTCGAGTACCACCTAAATTTAATACTTGATCTTCTTTTGGTTCTATATTTTGTGAATTATTTTTAGTGCTAATATCAATATGCTGTTTTGAACTGGCAAATACACTAGATAAACTTCTTTCAAGTGAATCCATGGAATCATCTGTCTCTCTATCATTTAGTATATCACATTCTAGATTTATAATTTTTTGAGTAGCAGATAAATTTAATTGTGTATTATCTAAATCAATACAGTTATCTTTCTTATTTGACAACTTTGGTATTATAAAATTTGTTTTTGATATAGATGTTTGTCCATTGCAACTTGTACTACCAATTGAATTACTTAATTTCTGTAAATGATGCGCTGTTAAATCAGCTAAAGACTTGAATGATACTTTGTCTACATTATTTTTAGAAGACTCCATTTTAGTATTGGACAATGTGAAATTTACAGAATTAGTTGTAAACTCAGATAAAGAAGAAAATTTCATAGAAGAGTTATTAATACTTAAGTTTTTGAAATCTTCTAAATTATTAATGTGGCATACATTTTCATCAGAACCTTTGATATCTTTTTGTTTATTAAATGATAATTTAGGTATAGTGAATGAACTAGACTGAAGTATAGTAGATGTTACATCTTACCTTATCAATGGATTCCGAAACAATACATAAAACAAAAAAAATATAGATTAAGAAATAATAATAATAATA